ATTGGTAGCTACCATCCTGCATCGTCGTATTTTGTATTCTGATATCCCCAAGTTTCTCTAAATCCCTTGCTATATCCCGTTTTCAAAGTGGTTGTTTTATTCTATTGATATGCATCGAAGCGAACCATTGGGTGGAGTTTTCTCCAGAACCTCTTGGTTACTGAGATATATTCGTATATCTCACCCCGTCTCGGGGCATTTATTTCAGGAGGTAGCAGTGGAGCCGGAGCAGTGGGCAAGAGGCCCGCAGAGTGAGCAGTGGAGTGCTTCACATTTTGCATTTTGTTGGCCGTGTGGCCTAGGCTAGACTTAGGGCATGAACATCTCATATGTATGTGGTATGAGCTTCATTAGCATATTTGTTCATGGCATTTTGCCTAATATGAACTATATGTCTAATAACTATAAACTGGATTGGGTTGTAAGTGTCCTAAGGAGTTGTTGGTCCTTGTGTGTGCCACCTATTGGATTATTACTGTATTAGCATGTGATTATTAGGTACATTTGAAACTTAAATGATCTTGTACAAATTTGGTATTATTGAAAAAACAAAGGAAACTCTGACGAATTTTCTGTAGGATTGACAGATTTTAGGTGAACTTCGGGAGAACATATCTCCCTCCATAGAGGTCCAATAGGGACGTTCCATACGGAATTTTGAAGGTTGAGATGTCCTCTACCTTGTGTCAAAATTTGGGAAAAATCTGGGTTGGTCTTCGACCTGAAAAAATTGGAGGAACGCAGACTGCTCATGTGCCCACTGCATCTGTGGCAGTTCTGGTCCGGTTTTGGGAAATTAATTCCCGCTTCGTTTCTCATTAAAATTAAGCGTATGATATATCAAATCGAAGATTGAGGTGTCTAGTTTATGGTGTAAAAATTTGAGAGCAATTGAATGAGTGGATTGAGTGCAGAAATTCGTGGAGTGAGAGAGGTTTAGAGTTGTTTTGGGGCTAGTTGGCTATTTTGCTTATCCAACTTCAAACGGCGATAACCAGAGCAAATGAGCTTCGAATTGAGCGTGTGATAGCTTGTTGAAAAGGGAATTAAGTAAGACAAAGATATAATCGGAGAAGAAGGTATGGTCGCGAGCGGTGTAGTCGCAGAAAAATTAGGAGTGAACCATGTTCGAATAGGTAAAAACGTAAAGTTTGGAAATTGGCTGAGTGGGTTTATGGGAACCCCTTAGTAACTTGTAATAAGTATACTGTGATGTAAAAATAGATAAAATAAATATTCCGCAAGAGTTAACAGTTATTGTCACAACTTTTAATTATTACGCGTTTTTATTGTTTTAAATGCTCGCGTAATAATTGAAAAAAGTTTATTCGTATTTTTATAAATGAATTGTTGTGATTGTAACTGCGCTTAATATCATAATTAATGTTAACAATACCGGTACGTAACGGGCTTTTACAAGGTGGGTTGAAAACCTCAATCCAACCCGCTCCGTTTTGAGGGGTTGACCCGCTGGGCTCAACCCATATTGCCACCTCTATGTGTATGTTTAGAGCTGGAAAAACGGGCTCGGCTCGATAGGTCAACTCATTCAGTGGCAGACTCAGAATTTTTTTTAATGTCCGCACATTTAGTGGTGGGGTTTCAGGGACAGCGTCCCCGAAATTTTTTGTTGTTGTAAAGAAAGTTTAAATTAACGTTTTATGTACAATGTTATGAACTCGCTCATAATCTAGTTGTTTCCATAACAAGCTGCAGACAATAGTTTGCCCAATCATTTCCCCCTAAATCTTACCAATCCTCCAAAACAAATATGAGAATATAGTCGAGTACATCCATACATCTTCATTCTATTTTATAGTGTTGAATAAAAAAGTCAACACTACCTGCAATCAAAATTACAGTGAAGGCCTCGTCCTTAGAGATCATAGTTATTAAATGCGGATTGCGGTCTAATGCAACCATCCCTCAAAACCGCTATAACGTTATTGCGGGTTGCAGTTTCAGAAATAGCGAAAAAAATGTAGTATTAAAAAAATAAATTATATATATATATATAATATAATATATTATTAAAAATAATAATAACACCTAAAAAAGTACAAATAATAAAAAATATAAAGATAAATACTAATTTAAAAAATAAAAATAAAGGCAGAGTTGACGTGTTATCTTTTAGCAATAAGTGTCCAAACTTTAGCTATAGTTGTACTACCTTTAGTTGCAACTATACTGATTTAGTGGATTTATCTCGGTTACTTTATTGTTTTACCTTTTCATGATGCATTTTTTTTTTTGGGATACAGAAATAGTTTTACTTTACTGTTTTACCTTGGTTACTTTTTCATGATTCATTCTTTTTTTTTTTGGGATACATAAATAGTTTTACCCACTGTTATTCTAACCAGGTTACTTGGTTGACTTTTTCACCCTTTTGCCCCTCATTAATTATTTAATAACCATTTTGCTCCTTATTCAGAACTATTTACCAATTTGCCTCTCTTTAATCGATTAAATCAAAAATTTAATCGATTAAATGATCAAAATAGGCAAAAATCGTTGACTTGAAGATTTAGTCAATTAAATCTCCCTATTTAATCGACTAAATCGCCCATACATAAGGTTGTTCTTCTGATAAAGAGGAAGATTTAATCGATTAAGTTGAAGATTTAATCGATTAAATCTTCATTTAACCATTTAATCGATTAAATTTTTGATTTAATCGATTAAAGAGGGACAAATTGGTAGATAGTTTGCAATAAGGGGCAAAATGGTTATTAAATAATTAATGAGGGGCAAAAAGGTGAAAAAGCCTTACTTGGTTACCATGACTTTCTTTTCTGACAAATGTACTTTTCTTTGAATAAAGATAGATTAGAATATCTTTCTCTCTCACTTTTTCACTTTTTCTCCTTCATCTGTTCTCTCTCTCTCTTACTCTTGCTCTCTCTCTTTTTCTCCTTCATATGTTCTCTATCTCTCACTATCACTCTTTCTCTCTGTCATCTTCTCTCTCTCACTCAGCGTTTCTTCTTCGTTCATGCTTCCACATTGAACTTCAATACTATAAGAGAGAAGTATAGAAGGGAAAAACGAAAGCAATAAAGAGAGAAAGAGAGGCATAGCAGAAACGTACAACAGAGAGGCAAAAAGGCAGAGTGAGTATAAAAAGACACTATTGCGCTGCGATTTGGCCGCAACGGCCACTATTACGATCTGGTGCGTTGTGGCGCAGATGGTTGCGGTAAAGCTCCGCAAAGTGCAACCGTCGCTGCTTGTGGCGCAATAGCACTGCTATTGACTACTATGCTATAGATTAACTTATTTGAGAATGTCAAACCTGAAAGCAATCCTCTTTTTTATAAATATGAAAAACGAAACAAAGGATGAAGAGAGCATGAAAATGGGTACATGACAGGGGAGGAGGAATAAGTTTTCTCTCTAATCAATTTGTGTTGCTACGTTGTTTTAATCAACTCTGTACGTTGCTACGTTGCTGAGTAATATAAGAGTAAATACCATTTTTGGTCCCTAACAAAAAATTCGATCCCCACTTTAGTCCCTTACAAAAAAAAATATTAGTTATATGGTTCCTATGAAATTCAAAGTGGACCCATTTTAGTCCTTTTGAGGGATTAATGTGGGTCATTTTTGAATTTGTGAGGGACCACGATTTTAACTAAATTGATCCACTTTGAATTTCTTAGGGACCTCGAGACTAATTTTTTTTTGTAAAGGACTAAAGTGGGACCGTGTTTTTTGTTAGAGACTTAAAATTGTATTTAATATAAATATTGAACCAAGAGACAAATAAGGACCTACAAAGAAAAAAAAACTAAAATAAGAATGTTTATGTCTGCACGTGCGGGCATTTGCCCACACGTGGGTCTGCAAATAAATCCGCCCCATCCCCCAAACGGGGTGGGATGGAATAGGCTGGGTTTTTTTAATCCATATCAAAAGTGAGACGGGGTGAGCTCTTTTTTTTTTACGGGTTAATAGCGGGCATAAGCAGGATAAGAATGGTCAATGTAAAATAGGCTTGAGCTGATGAGACAACTCGCCCAACCTGCTAAACGAAACGGGGCGAACTAACTCATTTTTTGGCAGGACGAGACAAGTCGCTCACTTTATCACCTCTATGTGTGTTTAATTTTTCAAGTTTCAACAGACAACCTCTCAATGCTCAAAGTTAGATCACTTACAATTATACATTTGATTAGAACCAGAAGCTTCGCCTGAAACAAAAGCAGACTTATTTAAGGGCCCTTGGGCGCAGTACTTTTGCTTCCCTATATAGAATTTCTTTGTCGTCAGAAATATGGGCTCAGCGATGAAACGTGGGTTTTCAAACATTTTGTACTTTGTAGGTCCTAATGTTCTCTCTTAAAGAACTTTCATTGCACAAAACAATAAAAGAAAGGTATATATAATACGAAAAATATTATTATTCTTTCACATATGATAAATTCTCTCATATTATCTTATTTTGATATTCGCACCTCATTTTTTCTTTTTTTATATAATGGTTGAATCTATCCATTTTCTCTAAGCAGCATAAGATAATTATCTTATATGAAAGAAAAATAATAAAACCCATATAATATTTGACTATTTGTGACAAATAATGTTTCTTCTTTTAAAAATTATTTGATATTTACTTACTATTTTGTGGTATGAACTTTTGTACCATTCTGATTCTTGTATAAAATTATTCAATCATCGGTTTGAAGACTCACCATATGTGTGAATAGCATGCAAAACTTAAACTCGAACAAATTCATGGATTTAAGCAATCAGTTGCAAGCTTCAAATCTATGTGTTTTAGACTTCAGATAGTAATTAAGTCTCTCCCCCTCCTCATTTTCCTCAATCTTTCTGAAGATTGTAATGAAGGGAAAACATTCTCTCTCTCTTCAATAAATCCACTTTTCGCGAATTGAAAGTTGAAATTTAGTTTACAATAGTAATAAAAGCATTTCGGCCCAAAGAATCTCAAATTTCTAAATTTATTAATTTCACTTAATATTTGTTGATAGGTTAAGCACTAACATGCACTAAAATGTAATGCCAAAATAACAAGGAAACAGAAACGAACTAGTCTACAACTCATTTAGCTTAATAGTACTACAAATAGAGAAAGAAATAATCTTCAAACAAAACCCACATCCATTTTGTTTCTTTGTTCAGTACACACATATTATAATAAGGACATACATAAATAAATAGATAGATAAAACAAAAGCAGCATCAGCAATTGGGGGAGTGGCACCTGCTACTTTAGGGGGATGATGATCTCACTTTGTGATTCAATAGAATCTTTCGGAGCTCCACCGGGTCAATTTCATCCATATGATTGATGGGCCTGTAGTAACCAGTGACCGGGTCTGGGGCCCAAGCTGAAGAGGTTTCCGAACCATTTTTGGTCACACCCTTCTCTTCAACCTTCCCCACCACCATTCCATTCCTACTCCCAATCCTATCCAATCCAGCTCTCACTGAAACATCAGACCCCACTGCATAGCCTCGCCTGAAATAATAGCATGTATAAATTCACACAACACATAATATAAATATATCCATATGCCACAAATAACATACCCAATTTAATTCCGATAAATAATAATAATAACTTTTTCATATTACATAAGAAATAATTTTATCTTATACATAATGAACTAATTTGTTTTTTTCTCTTCTTCTTAATGACATGAAATAAAATTGTCTTGTATAACATGAATAATATATTCCCTTAATAATATTAATAATTATAATAATGATAATTGCATCAGAACAGAACAATAAACATTCTCTATTTCATTTTAAAATACAAAAATTAACAAACGTGCCAAATTGTTAATTTTATATACATATATATCATATGACACCAATTGAAGATAACATGTTTGATGGAATTGTTAAAGCAGCAGGATGCAACTATAAAAGAAGAAAACACACCGATGAAGAGGAAGTGATAGAGCATTAGCAAAGGCGAGGACACGTTTGGCTTGTGAGAAAGAGCGTGCCATGCTGCGAAAGCTATTCTACTCTTTGTGGCCGAGGAACGCTTCCGCAGCAGCAGCTACCACCGCCACCTATTAACTCTCTCAAGTACCTTGTAATTTAGGGTTTGAGAGCCATTTTATAGAGTTTTTGAAGACAATTTTTTTTTTATGACGTTTGGTTAAAGCATGAAACATAGTTAATACTAAAGGGAGATGTTACACTTACTACTTTTTTTCTTACTATTTGTTACTACTAAATTTTAACTGTAGATTTTCGTCAATCTAATGGTAATAATTTATTGAGTGATATTTATTAATTAATTAACGGTTATAATTTATTAGAATTAATAATTAATTAATTAATATCACCCAATAAATTATAATCATTAGATTGGCGAAAATCAACTATTAAGATTTAGTAGTAAAAAAAAGTTAATAACTATAACCTTTTCCAATATTAAATAATAAATTATAAAATTTAATGTGCTAAAATTTTGAAAAAGTGTTTGTTAATTTTTTTATATATTTAAAAATATTAAACACACCTTATTGCGTTAGATGAAAAATCCTTTTTAAATTATTAGAGAGAAAGAAAGGTTGGTGTTGGGTTGGCTGTTATAAAAAGAGGGAGGCGGAAGCAACCTTAGCGATTATGTTGTAATCCTAACCAACTATACATTCGCTAATGTTTGATACGCCTTTTCAGGCATTATGTAACAACATATTGTATTTACCTATGTAATCTTGTGGGGTTAAACATGTATTGCAAAATCAATCTTCCGATTCCTTTGGTACTAATTTTAGTTTTCAAAATTGAAGTGCGATTAATTTTTTTGAATCATTTAGATTCTTTTAAATAATTAAAATAAAATTTAATCGTTTCTCGAACAATTCCAAAATTATGTCATTTTGGAATTAGAAAAATTAATGAAGAATGTTTTGTTAAAGTTTAAATAACAAGAAATTAATAAAAGTTCTAGAATACTATTCATTAATTCCTCATACCCAAAACATTATATTTTTAAAATTGTTAGAGATAATTTTATCTCATGTTGACAGAGAAAATAAATCGTTTGAGTAGTATACTAATTTTAGAATATACAATATGCTAAGGGTTTCTTGTTTCTCTGGTCACAAAAGATAAAATTATATTCAGCAATTTCAAAATTATATTATTTTGAGGATTAAAAAAATTAATGGAGAATATTTTAATGAAATTCATTAAATAAAGAAAATTCTTAAAATTTCTTTCATTAATTTACTCAACCCTCAAAAAAACATAACTTTAGAGTTACATAAAGATAAATTTGTCATATGTTACAAGAAAAACATTTTTTCCATACACTAATTCATAAAATGAGAAAGTGAAATTTATTACTTTAATTGTTGATGTTGTGAAGCTCAATTTGAACGCAGATGCAAAAGTCAAGGCGAATGTTGGAAGGCCCAACAGATTGGTAGATTAATATATATATTTATATATAGGAGTAGAGTAGGGGAGTGCAAAAAAAAATTAGTTCACTTGTTCTGCCCTTGATCTGACTAATAAATACCTTTTTCTTTTACTGAGTTTAAATATTGACCCACTTTTATTTGGGTTAGTTTTAGTCCTGACTTGTTTTAATAATGACCCGTTGACCAAAAACTTGACCCACATCCATTATGAGAAAGAAAAAAAAAATCATAATTACGTTAAAAGAAAAGTTTTAACGTAAAACAATTACGTAAAAAAATTTTACGAAAAATATTTTCATCAAAATTTTTCGTAAAAATTTTTGACGAAAAATATTTTAATTAAAATTTGACGGAAATTTTTTTTGTCAAATTATTTTACGGAATCTAAATTTCGTCAAAATATTTCACAAAAAAACAAATTCATCAAAAATTTCGACGAAACACATTTACATCGAAATTTTTTTACGGAAAAAAATTTCATCAAAAATCTTTACAAAATTCAAATTTCGGCGAAAGTTTTTGACGAAAATATTTTCGTCGAAATTTTTAGCGAAACACATTTCCATCGAAAATTTTCGACTAAATATTTTCGTCAAATTTTTTGATAAAAAATATTTCCATCAAAATTTTCAACGGAACACATTTCTGTCAGAAATTTTTGACAAAAAATATTTCGGCAAAATTTTTTGACGGAAATAATATTCTGTCAAAATTCTTTAGAGAATCTAAATTTCGTCGAAAGTTTCGAATGAAACATTTCCCTCATAATAATTTTTGTTGAAATTTTCGTCAGAACACATTCCCTTAGAAATTTTGAATGGAAAACATTCCATCAAAATTTTTGACGGAATTCTTTTTTCGTTTAAAACATTTGATGGAGGAAATCATTTTCGTCAAAACTTTTGACAGAAGCTAAATTTCGTCGAAAATTTATTTTTGTAAAAATTTTCATTAGAGAAAAAATTTCGTCGCTTTTCTACAAAAAGTATTCCGACGAAAAAATAATTTTATGACAAAATTTTCGTCTTATGCAATGTAGAAATTTCACGAGCTTAAAAAATAAATCAATAACTATAAAAAAATCAAATTAAAAACATGTTTTGAAACCAAGTCAAAAATGGGTTAGGTCGAATTTGACCCACTTCATAAACCAAGTCAGGTCAGATCCGACCCGGTTCAGAACTAGTTCAAAAAAATCGAAATCAAGTCAGACCCGACTTTGATCAAATTAAAGCGGATCAGGTCAAAATACCTGACCTATAAAAATCAAGTTGGGTCGAGTCCGCACAAAAACCTGACCCGACTTGCCCATGCACACCCTATATAGGAGTGATGAATCTCATCCGGTAATGATGTTTTTTTTTTAATTTCAACTTATTGTATTACAGAAATAAATAAGTGATTTCCCTAGTAATGAAAGTTATGCAGAAAAACTACATCAATTTCTCCGTCATTTAGTTCATCTTTCTCTTATAATCTCTAATCTTCTCTTCATCCCCTATGGAAGCCCTTCAACTGACTATTGATATGTAAACAACTTCAATATGACATAATCATGAAAAACCAATATTTGTGAAGATCCATTCTCTGAATACTCCGAGTCTGACAAGGATAGTTATATTTGGTTTAAATATCGATTTTCAATGCGCAATTATGATTAAGTTTAAAAGGAATTGGACCACCTTCTTGATTTGCACATATCTTTATCTTTTATTCTTGTTTATTATATGTAAAATGGAGAAGACTATAATTACTATTAATTTAGCTTTATTACTTTTATTATCTAGTTGATTATTATAGGATCAATTTAAAATCTAATTGAAGTTAATTTTTTTTTCAATCGTTGATTTTAAATTGATCTAGCGATAACCAATTAAGTAATAAAAATAGTACAGCTAAATTCATAATAAATATACTCTTCCAATACCTTATTTTTACGTACTTTTATTTTCCGCATTAAAATAGTCAAGTGTAGGAGTTTATTCAAAAAAAATTGGCAGATTTTATCCGTCATTTTTTTTATACATCTGTCAAAAAAAAAATTATAACAAATATTTCTTCAATTCTGATAGATAATCCACTACAATATGGAAAATATTATTTTTCAACCAAATTTTTTCACTGATACTAAAGAGGGAATTAACAATTTAGTTGTAGTACTTAAGAGGCTCCGATTTGCATAAGAATTGAGATTATGAAAATTATACTCAGAATGTGATACTAGTAACGTTTATATAGTGCCAAAATTTCACGTATTGAATATTTGTCTCATTTATATCGTATGAAATTTGGCATGTATTTCCGGTGCAAATTTTTTTACACTATCACTTAATCACGCATTCTCACATTTTTAAAAAGTGCGTCTTTGTTTTTTTTTTTTGTTTTTTTGGTACAAGCGTCTTTTCAGATAATGCGTATAAAATTCTTTTTTTAAAATGATTTAACAATGGAAAAAATGTTTGTCATTTAAAATGACATAATGTTATGTCATTTTAAAAGAGAGACAGATACATAAAAAAAATTTATTTAAATTTTAAATTAAAAAAAATCACTCACTTTCTCTCTCCCATGATTTCTGTTTTTCTGTGTCTATCTCTCTCTTAAAATAACATAACTTATGTCATTTAAAATGACAAACACCAAACCCTTTAACAATACATGATGGAGTGATATTATAAATTTCTTTTACGCTGGCAATGTATTAAGTTTTTTTTTTTCACAATTATTATTTAATCAAACTTAAATATAAAAGTAAATATAAATAGGATAATCTTTGTAATTATAATGGTCTAATAACTTTTTTTTTCCTTATCTAAAAATAAAAAAAAAATGCAGCGTTTGTTTGTTTTTTTTTATCTCATCATTCTACATAGTTTGTTTCACTTTGTAATAGTTGGCATTTGGGCTGAGCAAAGGAGCTTGCATGAATCATGGCCCTAAAAAAGACTAATTTTATAAAGCACGCGAGCAAATGAGAAAAGAAAAAGGGTGTGGTGAGTGTACTGACTGAATATAAAATTCGGTCCAGTGCACTAAGTTCTCTCGCGAGAACACAATTATAGTAAATATTATAAGTATGTTCTTCTGGAAGAACACCTGGAGAACACCATTATAATATTTAGTGTACTAAGTTCTCGCGGAAAAACTTAGGGCCTGATTGGTATGACGTATAAGGCAAGATAGTATAAGCTTATACTATACGTTATGACATTTTCAGTTGTTTGGTGTGACCATTGTATAGTATAAGCTTATACAGCATAATCCCTTAATACATCAAAACGATGTATAACTTAATCCGGCCTAAGGGTGAGAGATAAGACCTGATAAGATATTGATGTATTAACATCGTTGACCAATGTAATTCTCAAAAATTAATATATTATTTTAATTTTAATCTATTAAAATAAAAATTTATTTTACAATATATTAATTTTTAAAATATTGTTTATTTTTATAAAAATTAATTTATATTTTGGACACAGTGATCAATAAATTTTTATAAAAATGAATATCATATGACATTTTTTGAAGAATTATATAAATTCTTTATTAAAGGATATTTTTATTGAAAATATTTATTTTTATCATATATATTATTATACAGTGCATTACCAAATACTAGATGATATTATCTTATACAATATATTATTTTATACAATACCGTACCAAACGCTTGATAGTATTAAAATTCAATCAGGTCTTATACAATCAGGCCTTATACTATCAGGTCTTATACTATCAGGCCTTATCTTATACTATGCACCAAACATGCCCTTAGTGCACTGGACGGTCCAGTGACTGAATTTTAATTTTTTCCAAAGAAAAAAGAAAACTAGTTATCTTCAGATCTGTGTATTGTAAAAACTGAATTGATAAATGCAATGTTCTTCTTATAGTTAATGTGGAACAACTAAATGGACAAAACAATGGTCTTCTTATCAATGTTGTTAGTATTGCACGATACGCGATACGTATCGCACGGTTTGATCCGATACGAGGAAAAAACGATTCGAACCGCATCATTGAATTGTTTTTGCACAGAATTGTCCTGCTGAATCGTGGAATCGAACGATTCAGTTGTGAATCGGTGAATTGTAAATATTGTGCGATTCAATTTAAAAAAAAATAAAAATCAAAAGTTAGGATTTGAATTTAAAAAAAATAATATCAAATGTCAGAATTTGAAAGATCACGAAATTTGGATTCTCAAAGGTGGGTTGCTTCAGAAAACAGAAATATTAGGGATTCAAAATCCCATTAAACAAACAAATTAAAGAAAACAAGAAAGAGAGAAGAGAATCAAAGAACAGAAAGAAAAAAAAAAAACGAAAAACTGCTTGCAATCTGTGAAGAAGCGAAGCGAAGAACGACATTCAGACTTCAGAGTCAGAGAGAACGAGACGAGCTGTGAAGAAGGCTTGCAAACTGCTTTTGGGTAATATTTTATAATTGGTGTTTGGTAATTTAACTTTAAAAACTTAAATATATTAAAATATTATGTAAGGCACCGTTGAAACTTGAAAGTTGATGGGTATGTGGCTACAAGATGATGGGCTGATTAAAAGTACGTGCTGCATCTTTGGGTTACGTGGTTTCACCATGAAAAAACACTTGTCTTGCAATCATTTTAATATATTTAATGAGTTCGCAAGTGACAAACTGCTTTTGGGTAATATTTTTTGCCTTTGAGTTTTTTTTTTCTTCTTTACAGTAATAGAAATAGTAAAAATGGCTCCAAGGAAGAAATCCAAAAAACAGAAGGAGACACATATGATCCTATCTACTTATCAGATTTAGATTCTGACGAGGAATGGATTACTGAGCAAGAGGAGCCTTGCCTAATGGATGAGGAATCTTGGATGGACGTTCATGAGTGCTTCAACGTTGATGAAGGAGACCAAAGCAAAAAGAGAAAGAGAGGTATATTTGCATGTATAATTTCTTTTAATCAAACACCTTATCTAATATATTTATTTACATTATGTATATTTTTTTTTTAGGTCCTCGAAATCTTCAAGATGATAAAGGCAAAGACATCTTAATACAAGAGGATGTCGACAGGAATGATAACCGAAAATGATCTCAAATTATTGAACAAGATATGGAAGATGAGTCAGATGACTCTACTAATGGAGAGGATGAAGGACTATATATGCCAATACTAGATCCTAATAGTGATAGTAGTGATAATATTAGTCTTGAAATTTAATGAATATGAGAAATAACTGGTTTTAGATTTGGTTACTTGTGGATTTTGGTATTTAGATTTTTTTTTTTAATTTGGATTTATATGATATTATATATTTTTAAGTTATTTTTAATTTATTTCTGAATCTTACGATTCGATACGATTTACGATACAAAAAAGCAGCCGGACGATTCACAATACGTATTACGATTCAACAACCTTGCTTCTTATAATGATGAATCCATAGCAGAAGGTCTGAAATTTGCACATAACAAGGCTAATAATATAACGAAGATTTGTGGTTAATCATAAATTTTCTTTTGCCGCTTTTGGTCTTGGATTTTACTCACAACATATGTAAATAACATTTTGATTTTGATGTGATGTCTTACACTCTTACTATGTATGTATGATCATGAAAATAAATAGACTCTTTAAGGACAAAAGCATAGAATGAAGGGGGAAATAAATACAGTTATCTTTGGGGGATGGTCTTCATTTATCCAAATTCCATTAATTCGTTCAGACATAGCAAAGGAGGCAATTTCAAGTACTTGAAAAAAGAAAAAGAAAAAAAGACTTGTTTTGGACTATTTCCTCGGCCAATTTACCCCATACTTCATTAATTAATATAGGAAAACAGTAATTCCCAAGTTTAAGCTGATACATAAAACAATACTTAACCTCCTTTCCCTTGCACATTTGGACTATCCTATTATACTTAATAACATGACTTTATTTAATTATAATATATGTCATGGTCCTTGTGATGCTTTTCATTAAGTGGAGGGCATGAAATGAAATCCTGAAGGATTAACGTTGGCAACAGTGCGAGTCCCAAGAAGACTGATCCCAACAAACCGCAGGGTCGAAACCAGAGCCCCAGCAGAAGGAAGCTTGGAGTTGCAGTTGGAGAGTGGTGTAGCAACCACAAGGTTACAACCACTAAGCAGTGAAGACAGATCGTATACCAAAGGATCCATCATAATAGAAAACATTCCATCACCTTCAGTTCTTGCATTAGAAAACACCTTTCCCCCACACAGTAGTTGCACTTGAGCATCTGAAACATCATATAGCATTATCACTACCTAGGCAAGTCTCAATCACATTAATTCGAGTAGGAGTAGCACCAGTTAGTTAAAGTCCTCATATATATTCAGAGCTAGAAGTTAGAACCTTTTCACGTAATGTTCCGAATAATAATAATAAAACATTATTCTAGGATGAAAATATTTTAAAAGTCAAAACTTTGCAATGAATACCACCAAACACGTGGATCAACCGATAAAGAAAAGAGTTATTATAACTTAATCAGAAATCTCGAGTTCGAGTTCCTGAAAATGTAATTATATTTAAATTTGATAAGGAGAATTTTACTATTTATATAGTCGTACCTAACTTGAACCAGAATAATCACTAATGAACCGAATGATAATATAAAAAAAAAATTGCTATGAATTTTGGACTTACTTGAAAAAGCTGGGTTTGCAGAGCCATTAATATCCATATTGTCCTTGGAAGAGCAAAGTACAGTTCCTTGAATATTAATGGAGCCGAGGAGATCATTGAGAACCCCAAGTTGGGCTTTGGCTTGGGGAATTGCCACTACAGCAATTAGGAGAAGCGTGACAAGATTTTTCAAGGTCATGGTTATCAGATATTATAACTTGCCTTGCAACAAGTTAGCTGTGCGGATAAACAATTTTATACTGCACAGAAGCTTGCATGACTCAACATTATTACACTACCGTATTGCAATTTACGTATGCGTGTGTAAGCTAGATAGCTAAGTTGCTTGGTACCAAATTGGCAATATTCTCTTTCTTTTCATTTTTAACCGTAGAGTTTTCAGGTTGTCATATATAAGCCTATGCTATGAGCACTTTGGCTTCTGTGTCGTGTATCCCAAAGGAAGCAACTCGTTCTCTTGTGCAAGTTATGTGATCTTTAAAGAGCCCCAAAGAGTTCCCACTAATTCAAAGTTTGACATACCACCATGATTCGCATGCCACGTTCACTGTTCCCACCGTTCATGACTTTTGCTTTTTCATCATTATGTTTAGTGGAGTTAGTAAAAATTATAGCATCTATTTTTTTAGAGTACATACTCTGTGTGTCATGACTATATTATTGCTGGAATCATAGTCATATAATGATAAAGGGAAATCATACTTTCATGTTGCAGAAAATATAAGTTGTCTTATGCTTTCACCATAGAAATCTGTGCATTCTTTTTTGATTTTTTTTTGCTTTATATTTTAGTGGGCTCCATAGTTTTTTCTATGTACAGGAGAGAAATGATGATTTCTGTTATCGGAGAGCAATAAACCCCAATGATAAATAATAGTAATAAGGAAAAAGAGAAAAATATATTGAAATAGATAATTATAAAATTATCACCTTTAATTCATTTTTGTATGGCTAGAATCTTTCCCCATGACATCAGTGGCGGACCCAGAAAAATTGTTTATGTCCGTATATTTAGTGGCGCTACCCCCAATTTTTTTTTTTTAAAGACAGTTTAGATTAACGCTTTATGTACAAGGTTATGAACTCGCTTATAATCATGTTGTTTCCATAACAAGCTGCAGACAATAGTTTGACGAATCATTTCCCCCTATATCTTATCAAATCTCCAAAACAAATATGAGAATATACTCGAGTACATCCATACATCATCATTCTATTTTGTAGTAGTGAATAAAAAAGTCAACACTACCTGTACTGAAGGCAAGCGAAATCACAGTTAAGGCCTCGTCTCTAGAGATTAACTTATTTGAGAATGTCAGACCTACAATCAATCCTCTCTTTTCATAAAAATGAAAAAAGAAACAAAGGATGAAGAGAGCATGTGAATGAGTATGAGACAGGGGAGGAAGAATAAGTTTTCTCCTAATCAATTTGCGTCGCTAAGTTGTTTTAATCATCTCTGTACGTTGCTACATTACTAACTAATATAAGAGTAAATACTCTTTTTGGTCCCTAACAAAAAATTCGGTCCCCACTTTAATCCCTTACAAAAAAAAAATTTAGTGACCTAATCTCTATGAAATTCAAAGTGGACACATTTTAGTCCTTTTGAGTGACTAATGTGAATCTTTTTTGAATTTGTGAGAGACCAGGATTTTAACTAAATTGATCTACTTTGAATTTCTTAGGAACCTCAAGACTAATTGTTTTTATAAGGGACTAAAGTGAGGACCGTATTTTTTTCTTAAAGACTTAAAAGTGTATTTATTCCTAATATAAATATTGAATCAAGAAACAAATAAGAACCTGCAACAAAAAAAAAACTAAAATGACAATATTTATGTCCGCACTTGCGAACATTTGCGTCAACCTGGGTCCGCCAATGCATGACATGATTATATTAATTAATCATTTTAGTATCTAAAAGATGAAAAAAGTATTTCTCCAGTGAACTTAAAACGACGTCGTTTTGGGTTATAAGATTAAAAAATTATAATGATAAAGACTAATATAACCCTGCAATATATTATAATTATAAAAATACCTTGATTTCCGTCCTAAAACGATGTCATTTTGGGTTCACTGAAGATAACTTATCTCCATTGACCGGAGAAATCCTTTACCCCTAAAAGATATATGATATCAATTTAGTTTCTTAATCATGAAAAGTGACTTCAAATCATCATTTTGTGCACAAACTGAGACAAAAATATTAAATTGAAGTCAAGAGATATACTTGTTTTTTTTTCTTTTTATGATTGAAAGGCTAAATAAATGTCATTTTTCAATTATTGAAAGAAAAAATAAATCAATACCAATTCATTCAGATAACAAAACTGTCTTTTTTTATTTTTTAGAGACTAAATTAATGTTAACTCAACATTCATAAACTAAAGTAGCAGTTTCCTCTGAGAATTACTTAAAAAACGAAAAATGAATAGTAAAACTAAAAAAAAAACATAAACAATAAAATATAAACTTGTATTATCAAATAAAAAGTTTTTTTTTCAACACATTATCTAATTTTTACCTTTTCCCTTTTCAAATACCTGAAGAAAAAAATTATCCAGGTATTTTTATTTTTTTATGAATACTGATATCTAAGGTAATTTATTAAAAATTTATTTATTATTCATCATATTTGATTTGCTTCCAAGTATCAAATATTTATTATAAGGGATTGATGTTTGTCCTTTTAAAATATATAGAATCATGTCATTTCAAATGAGAGAAATAGATATACAATAAAAATTATAGGGGAGAAAATGAGAGTTTTTTTTAATTTAAATTTTAAATAAATAATATTAATTTTAACTAAAATAACCATCATTTAGAAAGACAATTTTTTTTTCTTATTATAAACCAATACTTAATAAATATTTAAGAACTCAGTTTGGGCTTTTTGACCCTTTTGCCCCTCATTAATTAATTAATAATCAATTTGTCCCTCACCCAGAATTATCCACCAACCTTCCCCTCTTTAATCGATTAACTTGAAGATTTAATCGGTTAAACAGTCAAAATACAGCAATAACATTGACCTGAAATGTAATCGATTAAATATCCCTCTTAATCGATTAAATTTCGAGACATTTAATCGATTAAATGTATTATTTAATCGATTAAATTTCATCTGGAGCATTTTTTAAACCCCCCATTTGACAGAGGGGGTTATTTGAAATCCTAATCGATTAAGGTCTGTGGATTGCGTCCCCAAGGCTACTTCAAACTTCTTCATCCTCCACGGTGAGGGATTTTCGATTTTGTTATTTTTTTGTTATTTTGGGTGGTTTTGGTTTTGGTGGTCGATGGAATGTGTTGGGGTTGAATTTAAATTTTTTCTCACATAGTCTCTGAGATCAGTTGCTAGGAGAGAGAGGAAAAAAACAATTTTTTTTTGGAATATCATTTGATTTAACTAACTGCCCATGAGATTATTTACAGTTTTTTAATTTTTTTTTCAAGTTCGTTTGTTGTTTTAACAATTCGATGTGCTGCTTTTATTTTGTTTGCCATTGAGTTATAGTTTAGGAAAGCGAGCAATGTGTGATGTTGGTTTTGTATTTTGTTTGCCATTGGTTTTTGTTTGCCGCGGATAACATGTATGTTGTTTGCCATTGAGTTATTGGTTGTTGATAAATTATTTTGTCATTGTAGGTATTCTGTTACAATGGCCGGCTGTAGAAGAGCAAACAATGCCGACGATGAGAGACGCACGAAGCAACGACAAGACCGGCCTTCTTTCTCAAGGCGACAAGACGAAGAGCCTGATAACGTCGACCTACCATTTGGATACTTGTTTGAGGATGACCCCTCGGTGCACGCTGCATTTGTACGTGACCATGTCAACAGACCTTTATGTGCTCCAAAATCATTGGATACAACATTTTTTGTGACGGAAGGATTTCAGATTGTGGCGGTGTTGGAGGCAGCACATCTGAGGGTGTTGGCTGAGATGCTATGTCCCTACTCAGAGGTTATGCTGAAGGCCTTCTACCATAACTTCAGCTACATATAGGGTGAGATGAGGTCGAGGGTCTGCAGTGTGGACATAGTCACGACGGCTCCGGTATGGTTGCAGATATTAGGCTATGACTTTGATGCTGAGCCCACTGTGGAATATGACGCAGATAGCGGTGTATCACTTCCTGGATATGCCCGAGGGGATGCGGTGGAGGAGGCCAGGAGGCCTGATAATATTTAAATAAAATACTGAAATTTATTTTATTTAAATATTATTATTGTTTAAAAAAGATAGGATATTGTAGCAACCAACTAGTGTTACTACCAATCAATTCCACCGTTAGATCGATTATGTGGATTTAACCAATGTTGTCAAATTCGAGTTTCTATGCAGAAACGGAAATGGGTGGTAGAAACGTAAACGTATAAACGACACGAAACGTAAAGTTTCTACTTTCTACCACTTAAGGTCAAGATACAAAATTATATATGCAAGTAAAAAAAAAATCATATAATGAACATGTGTATTGAGCCACTTATCTATCTAAAAAAGAAAATTATTTTTCATAACCAAGTAACAAAATTATAAACAGTGATAATTAACAAGAAATGGGTAACCAATCTGTTCTAACTGCTTTATACACTCTGCAGATTTTGGATCATCGCTCATCAGGATATAATTCCACTTCTTTCAATTCACACAATGATCAAAAAACATAAAACAATTCTTATAGCATAACTTATAATAGAATTGCAGCTTTATAAGACATAATTATAAAAAAAACATATATCCAAACAAAAAGATATTAAGTGACTGTGAATATGATTTGGGGAAAATGAAAATTAGGTTTTTTTTTATTATTAAACTTTTAGTTTTAAATAAAAACGGTCAATACGGTAAAAACATAAGTTTTTATCGTTTTTACGCGACGTTTCTACCAGTTTTTATCAAGGACCGTTTTTACTTAAGTTTTAACACAGACCACTCTAGTAAAAATGTAAAAACGTAACATTAGTTTTTGACAACAATAGATTTAACGATTATATTTATTTCCATCTTTGTATGATTAAGATTGCCTATATTTAATATGAAAACATTAAATATGAAAAATCATAACCATACAAAGTGAAAATAAATATAAAGTATTAAATATAGAGAATTATAACCATACAAAGATGAAATAAATATAACCGTTGGATCAACATATCGCTCTAACAATGAAATTCATTAGTAGCATCAGTGTAGTAATACTAGTTCGTTACAATATCCTTCCCTTTTAAAAAATTCAAAACCAAAAAATAAATAAAAAACAACATAGGAAGTAATGAGCCATGAAACAATCACGATGATCAATTTGCAGAGGTCAAGATATGGAGCTAACAAGTTTACTTCTTTGTCTGAATCATTGACTTCATTGCATTCTCTCTCATCTTCTTTTCATTCTCACCACTCTTCATTCACGGCTATAGGTACCTACACACGCACACATTCACTGTTTTTCTCAGGAATAAAAGAAAGTTGCTTCTTTTTTATTGCAATGTTGTTGATTCCCTCTCTTTTTATTCTTTTGTCAGATAGTACGGTACTCCGTCGGGTTCTCGAACGCTGTAGAATTTATAAGGATTTGAAAACCGCCTCTAAAACCCACGCAAAGGTTGTTGTACTCGGGTATGCTACCTACCCATCTCTTATGGCGTCTCTGATATCAACCTATGTTCGCTGTCACCAACCCCATATTGCCCATCATGTTTTTTCCTATGTTTTGGATGTATTCAATATGAACTTAATAATTGAAAGCTTAATGAAAGCCAGGGAATGTGATGCTGCCAAGAAGGTGTTTGTCAAAATGCCTGTTAGAGATGTGGTCTCGTGGAACACCATGATTGGAGGGTATGTTAAAAACTCACGCTTTTTTGATGCTTTGAGTTTGTTCCGGGGGATGCTGAGTGCTAAGGTTGAGCCTGATGGGTTTACCTTTGCTTCTGTGCTTACTGGGTGTGCACGCCTCGGGGCTCTTAGCAATGCCACGTGGGTGCATGGATTGATGGTTGAGAAAAGGATTAAACTGAATTATATATTGAGTGCTGCATTGATTGACATGTATGCCAAGTGCGGTAGAATTGATGTTTCAAAGCGAGTTTTTGATGGTGTTGTGCGTGATCATGTGTCTGTTTGGAATGCTATGATTAATGGGTTAGCAATTCACGGGCTTGCTTTGGATGCAACTGCAGTGTTTTCAAGGATGGAGCAGGAAAATGCTTTGCCGGATTCTATTACTTTTATTGGGATTTTGACGGCTTGTAGCCACTGTGGATTAGTTGAAGAAGGTCGTGAGTACTTTGATATGATGCAGAATCGTTTCTTGATTCGGCCGCAACTTGAGCATTATGGAACCATGGTTGATCTCTTGGGACGAGCAGGGCTCTTGGAAGAGGCCTATGCGATGATTAAGGTGATGCCTATGGAGCCTGATATTGTTATCTGGAGAGCACTTCTGAGTGCTTGTAGAACCCACAGAAAGAAAGAACTTGGTGAAGTTGCCATTGCAAGTATATCCGGTCTTGAGAGTGGAGATTTTGTCTTGCTGTCAAATATGTATTGCTCTTTGAAGAACTGGGATAATGCTGAGAGAGTGAGACAGATGATGAAAATGGGAGGAGTTCGTAAAAAGCGTGGTAAGAGTTGGATTGAATTAGGAGACAGCATTCACCGATTCAATGCAGCTGATCAGTCACATGCTGAAATGGAAGTAATTTACGGAGTGCTGGAAGGCTTGATACAAAGAGCTAAGTTGGAGGGCTTCACACCCTTGACGGATCTGGTTTTGATGGATGTTTCTGAAGAGGAAAAGGAGGAAAATTTAAAGTTTCATAGCGAGAAGTTGGCCTTGGCCTATGGAGTCCTGAAAAGTAGCCCTGGAACAAAAATCCGGATTTCAAAAAATCTGCGTATCTGCCAGGATTGTCATAATTGGATTAAGATTGTGTCTAGAATATTAAACAGAGAGATAATTGTGAGAGATCGCATCCGTTTTCACCAATTTGAAGGCGGGTTTTGCTCTTGTGGAGACTACTGGTAGCTAAGAGAGTTAATTCTTGGTTGCATTGTTGATTAGCTAATACCGGTTTAATATGATCTAAGTGAGGTCTGACCTGGTTTGAATTTTTTTGAACTAGTTCAGAACCGGGTCGAATCTGACCTGACTTGGTTTTTGAAGTGGGTCAAATCCGACCTAACTCGTTTTTTGACTTGGTTTCAAAACATGTATTTAATTTGATTTTTTTAGTGTTATTGATTTATTTTTTAAACTCATGTAATTTAATTATTTATTTGTTTTAAAATATATAAATTTTATATTTGTTGAATAAATAAAGGAATGTAATTTTAAGCTCCCTGCACATGTGAAACAAAATTAGTGAAAATTAGTGAAAATTAAAGAATGAGAGACGCTCTTCCCATCTTAAGATGACAAATCACTAATTTTAACAATGATATATTATAAAATTACATAATGTCTACTGATAGAAAATTCATAAATTCAAACCCAAATTATACAATTATTATTAGGGAAAGATCAATTAGTTTAACGCAGCTCTTGGTTAATATGATTGTACATATATAATTTTAGTTATCCACTACAAAGAAAATAGAAAATGTAAAGGAATTAGATTGATAAACAACGACATATTATATAGGTAGAATATTTGTATAGAAACTTTTTCATTAAAGTAATAATTGTAACTCCACACATAATGACTCAAATAAAAATTGGACAAAGAAGTAGTTGCTAATTTGCTGAGCTCAATCGGCAGCGAGCCTTCAAGATTATTATGATTCTTATGCGAGACATTTATGAAAATTCTCAGTTACCATGAAATTAAATTTTACCATAAAAGCTACGATGTAAAAGCCATTAAAATAAAATAAAAAACTAAGGAATAGAGAAAAAGGAAATCTACTGCTTGTTATGAAATGAAGGAGGCGATGTTGGAAGGATCAGAGAGTTAAATCCATAGCCAATAACAAAGACCATTATAGCAAGACATGACATCAAGCAGGTATTCAAGCATATCATACTGTATGAGTTTAAATTAATCAAGAAGCTCGAGATTGAGCACAAGAAAAGTCGAGAAACATATGGGAGATCCTCTTTGGTGGAGTGCAAGAATGTGACAGAGAGAAGAGAGAATTATAATTGTGATTTTTTTTCATATAATGGGTCTGGGTCAAGTTTTGGGTCAATGGGTCATTATTAAAACAAGTCAGGTCTAAAATTGACCCAAATAAAAGTGGATTAGTATTTAAACCCAGTTCAAAAAAATAAGTATTTATGGGACAAATCATGGACAGGGCAAGTGAACTAGTGTTTTTGCACACCCCTACCCAGTCCTTAAGCATTTAAGCATAAACAGCTCTCTTTACAAGCACTAAAAGCTGATCCACTTAGGTCATTGGCATGCCTGTTAGCTGCGAACAGGTTAAAGTAAAAATCAATTTTGGGCATAATTTTTGAGTTTCATGATTTTGAGTTACTATTACGTAAATAGAATGGGTGAAGTAAAATTGATTGTACCCAATTTGGCAGTTATAAATATTTTTCCATTTTCTGATAATTGACAATGTTCCACCTGAAGGTCAACAAGAAGTAAATCCATAATAACATGAAGTAGCAGCTACTGTGATGCACCCGAGCTGACTTGCTTGGATTAGGCTTATCCACTATTTATTTTAGATTATGTTTGAGTATACGTTGATTGTGCGTTATCTCCTTTGATTGCGCATGATTATAGTTATTTACTTTTTTTGTTATTTTATTTTTGCCTATTTAAGGCTTGGAGAACCCTATTGTTATTAGGGTGTTTTTGGTTAATAAAAATTAAGAAAAGAGAAATAGTATTTTCTCGCAATCCTTGTATTTGTTCTTCTTTCTGTTTAGCCAATTGGTTACTGCTTCGGCATTATTTGGTAATCAGAGCTCTGGTTGTCACATAAATGGCTGAACATAACAATGGCGGTCGAGGTCAAGATCGTGGACGACGGGGTCGAGGCGGCGGCGGCGGTAGAGGGCATGTTAACACCCTTAACGATGACGGCGAACAACCACACATTGACGTGCGACACACCAGAATTGTAGCAATGGCTGCTACATTGGCAGAACATGGTAGGCGAATTCAGGAGCTCGAACAACTGTTTGCCCAAACACAGTTGGACGAGTCAGATGAAGGAAGGGAATCTGAAAGATCATCTCATGAAGAGGAAAGGAGCGAAAACTCATTCTGGAACTGGAACCAGGAGCAACGAGGACGAAGTCAACCTCGAAATCAATCCTTTTTTGCTAATATTGGGGTGAAGATTGAGATCCCGAAATTCGAGGGCACCACTCATACAGATGAGTTTATCGACGGGTCACACATTGTCAAAAGGGTCTTTGACATCAGAGACTTGACAGAAGACCAGAAGGTCCTGATCTATGATGAATATGATGATCATCAAGATCGTGAGAATCCTATTGTGGATGCTCCAGTTTATGACGAGTTCCCTATCTATGATAAGTATGATTGGGAGAAAGATGATGAGAATCCAGAGGTGGAAGAAATCTCTTATATTGATTTCGGTGAAAAATTAGTTATTAGAAATTCTAATATCTTTGACAAAGATGAAGTCCTACCCCAGTATTATGAATTTGAGGACAACGAGCATAACAACCTCATGCTCTATGGAGATAAATATTTAACTTTTTGTAAAAGTTTAATTGGAGATCTTTAGGGGCAATGGGAATTGCTGTCACATCAGACGAAATTTTCCTACGACGGATCACAGATGCGATCATTGATCAAAACTACAAATGAATATACCAAGCATATCAAAGAATTGCATTTCCAAGTCCTAATCTTAATTAGGAAATTTGGTGATATTGTACTAGAAGAGTTGTCACTTGGGTTACCACCTGAAGAAGTTCATATCAATGAAGACGAAGCAGATTCTAGGGCGAATCTTTTTCAAGTGGAAGAGAATGATGCACCCGAGCTGACTCGCTTGGATTGGGCTTTTCCTTTATTTATTTCTTTATTTAAGGAATTTTAATAATTGCTAGTTATTTCCTTTTTGTTATTTTAGATTATGTTTGAGTGTGCGTTGATTGTGCGTTATCTCCTTTGATTGCGCATGATTATAGTTATTTACTTTTTTTGTTATTTTATTTTTGCCTATTTAAGGCTTGGAGAACCCTATTGTTATTAGATTATTTTTGGTTAATAAAAATTAAAAAAAGAGAAATAGTATTTTCTCGCAATCCTTGTATTTATTCTTCTTTCTGTTTAGTCAATTGATTATTGCTTCGGCATTATACTGCACTGAATCTAGAAGGACACGAAGTGGCTGAACCTATACCAAAAAGGAGAAGACGACTTCCACTATCAGTTACTCTTCCTGATGGACCACTAATCTCGAGAACTCTTAATTGGATTAAGAAATTATGAAAATAAAAGAAAATATTAAAAGAAACCTACTGACTTTGAAGTCAGTAATATCTCAGTTAAATTTGTAGGTCATGTAGCATAACTCCTAATCCAACTTGAAATTTGTGGTACATCAACAGAAATAACAAGTGCCAGAAGTCCACTTCTCCTTTTTGATCTAGGAGCTGCCACTTAACTTTCTCCTGGGTTCATTGTAATATCTGCAACTTTGAGTCCTTGTGGGTTGACTGCAATAGCTGTCACTTCTTGTCCTTTTGGGTTCGCGGACATTGCCAATTATTAGAAAAAGGAACAATATTTATAGTTGCATACAATCATTCATAATTTACCCATAATATTTACGTAAGAGCTACTTAGAATCATTTTTCTTTACCTACTGTTTCTTTCACTTCCATTGGATACATGCCATTTGAGCTGATGATGCAACAACTCTAGCTGTGAACAGAAGCAGAGCATGTTACATCAGATAGCAAAACCAAGGATATTAAGTTGGCATCTTTTGAGTGAGCCTATGTCAAATTAACAATGTCTCTTAGAATTTAGTATTAGAAATATCAAGGAGACTGCGGTAAATGTTTCATTGCCTATAATTCTTAGTCCATCTACTAAATTCCCTAATGTTGTTCCAGTTGTTGTAGAAAAAGATAACAACATTGAACAACATTTGAATGAAGAAGTACTCCCAGCAGATGTTAACTTGCCGAATGGTAAAGCACAAGAACCACATGAAATAGAATTAAGAAGACCCCAAAGAGAACGTAGGCCAACTATTTCGAATGATTATGTGGTTTACCTACAGGAGTCAGATTATGACATTGGAATCAATAAAGATCCAGTTTCGTTTTCACAGGCCATAGAAAGTATAGAATCAGATAAATGGATTGTAGCTATGAAAGAAGAGCTAAAATCCATGGATCAGAATGATGTTTGGGATCTCGTCGAATTACCTGAAGGTTCCAAAAGAGTCGGTTGTAAGTGAGTCTTTAAGACGAAACGCGACTCTAATGGTAATATCAAACGATATAAAGCTAGACTTGTTGCCAAGGGTTATACTCTGAAAGATGACATTGATTATAAAGAGACATTTTCACCTATCTCGAAAAAGGATTCATTAAGGATAATTATGGCATTGGTGACTCATTATGATTTAGAGCTACATCAAATGGATGTGAAAACAACCTTTCTTAATGGTGACCTTGAGGGGTAAGTTTATATGGATCAACGTGAAGGTTTTTCCATGGAAAGTGAAAGAAAATTAGTGTGTAAACTCAAGAGGTCAATATATGGACTTAAGCAAGCATCCCGACAATGGTATATCAAGTTCAATACCATTATTACATCTTTTGGATTTGAGAAAAATACTGTTGATCGGTGTATTTACCAAAAGACCAGTGGGAGTAAGTTTATTTTCTTAGTTCTTTATGTTGACGACATCCTACTTGATGCAAATGATTTGAGTATATTGCGTGAGACTAAAGATTTTCTCTCAAAGAATTTTGAAATGAAAGATATGGGAAATGAGTCCTATGTGATTGGAATAGAAATATTCTGTGATCGATCACAAGGATTGTTGGGACTATCTCAGAAAGGATATATTGAGAAAAATCTCGAAATATTTAATATGAGTAAGTGCTCACTTGGAGTTGTTCCTATACAGAAAGGTGATAAATTTAGTCTCATGCAATGTCCAAAGAATGATGTTGAACGAAAAGAGATGGAATCAATTCCATATGCCTCTGTTGTGGGCAGCTTAATGTATGCTCAAAATTGTACTCGGCCAGATATCAGTTTTGCGGTCGGGATGTTGGGCAGATATCAAAGTAATCCAAGAATGGATCATTGGAAAGCTGCAAAGAAAGTTTTAAGATACCTTCAAGGCACGAAGGATCATATGCTCATGTACAAAAGGTCCAATGAATTAGAAGTAATTGGATATACTGATTCAAATTTTGGTGGATGTCTTGATAGTAGAAAGTCAACATTTGGCTACTTGTTTATGTTTGCTCAAGGAGCCATATCATGGAAAAGTGCAAAACAACTATCGTTGCTTCATCTACTATGGAGGCAGAATTTGTGGCATGTTTTGAAGCCACAACTCATGCATTATGGCTGCGGAATTTTATTTCAGGGCTTGCGGTTGTCGACACCATTAGCAGACCGCTGAAAATTTACTGTGATAATTCTGCAGCAGTATTCTTCTCTAAGAACGAAAGATACTCTAAAGGTGCCAAACATATAGAGTTAAAATATTTTTTTCGTTAAAGAAGAGGTTCAGAAACAGAGAGTGTCAATTATGCACATCAGAACTGAACACATGATGGCATACCCGTTGACGAAAGGGTTATAACCAAAGCTATTTAAAGAACATGTTGAAAGTATGGGCCTTGGTTGTATTAAAGATTATTGATGTGTGACACTCTGAGCTCACCTATGTGTTTCTGAGATACATTATGTTTCCTTGTTATTTTATGGTTGTATACACTATGAATTTTGACAAGGAAGTTTTTGTAAGACATTATGTGGACCATTATATTTCTTATATTATGAATTTTATATGATGGATTGTTGGTGTTGTAGTATATGGAAGGGAATGTACTGAATTAATAACGCACTACCGTCATAACTCACACTTGACAATTTATCTTTTATGATGACTAACATTAGAGATGCATGTATATTAAGATTAATCGGGCCAAGTGGGAGAATGTTAGAAATATCAAGAATCAATTATAATATTAAAAAGATTTTATTATAATTATGATATTAAGATTCTTGATATTACCCATTAAATGTTATATGGCCCAATTAATTACGGATACATTTAATCTCAATCATATAATTGATTTGGTATATGATGGACTTACCAGATTATAAGTTATGGAATATATATATTAGGGATGGTCCTCTCTCCCCTTCAACCCTAATGTCATTCTCTCCATCAGAATACATATTAAAGTTAAAGAATGCTTAGAGAGAGAAACTAACCTAAAAAATTAAAAAAAAAAAATCACTACTTACAATTAAAAAACTACTTCACATTAATTAATAATTACTAATAGCTAACAATTAATCTCTGATTATTTACAAATTTTTACTAATCACTAAACATTAAAATTACAAACAAGTTACTTTAACTTAACAATTAAAATTTATTTTATAACTTATCAACCTAAATATCATATAACTAGTTTAAAGACAATTATGATTAAAAAATTAATACAATTACTATAATTCATATCTAATTATTGTTAATAACTAATGACTAAATATTGCGTGTCACTAAATATTATTAGCTAATTTATTTAATCTCCAATATTAATAGTAGTAAGATTAACCTAAATAAATAATAATTAAATTTCATTTTATAACCTATAAATCAATAAGAAAAAAATAATAAAATATTATTCAATCACTACTAATATTACATTCTGTTTTAATAAGGAGTTAATCTTAGGGGCCGTACTTATTTTTGCATATAACCGATCATCAGCTTCTATCGATTCAAAGTGACAAATTAAGTCACAAGTCATATTTTTCACTCCTTGCGTGATAGTATGTATATGTGAAGCTAGCTAAATATGGTGTTACCGGGCACGACGCCATTATTTAGGAAAGCACTAAAAGAATGCTCAGCTCCATCCACATTTCTCCCACTTTTCTTTTCCCACTGGACTCTCTTTCTCATTTCATGCCAAACCATCTATCATTAGAATCTACTCTAACCAAGCCCATAATAATCATGACATAAAAGATCAACAACATATGCCTAGAAATGCTAACCATAACAAATCAACTTCAACTTCAACTTCTGGCAAAATGGAACCTTACAGTTTGTATTCCATATTGGAAATGTTGATGCAGCATCTCAACACTGTCATTGAGTTTATTATCTCACCTTCCTATTGTTTTGGCGTGGTTTTGGTTGCAGGTATAGCAATGCTCTACTTTGCATGCAGAAGAAAAGTACCCATTTATTTGATAGACTTTAGCTGCTACTGTCCACCAAGTTCTTATAGGCTACCTATGGCCATGTTTGAAGAGAATAACCTTTTTGATAATATGGATCCAGAAGCTGTTGATTTCCAATGCAAGATCATAGCAAAATCTGGATTCAGTGAGGAAACATCCATTCCTCCATCTCTTGCTCAGATACCCAAAATAAAAGCTCTTGCCTTTGGCCTTGAGGAAGCTGAAACAATAATGTTTTCAGCAATTACAGACTTATTTCAGAAAAACAACATCAACCCAAAAGCCATTGACATACTCATCACTAACAGTTGTGTGTTCTGTCCTACCCCATCTCTAAGTGCCATGATAGTTAACAAGTTCAGAATGAGGAGCAACATCATGAGCTTCCACCTATCAGGTATGGGATGTAGTGCTGGAATTATAGCAGTGAGTTTGGCTAAAGACTTGTTGAGAGTTCATGGGAACTCATTGGCTTTAATAGTAAGCACAGAAACCTTGAGTCTAAATTGGTACACTGGTAAAGTTCCATCCATGTTGTTAACTAATTGTCTATTCAGAATGGGTGGAGCTGCTATATTGATGTCTAGCAGGGTCCAAGATAAGCATAAGGCAAAGTATAAGCTACAGCATGTTGTTAGAACAATCAATGCACAGGATGATCAATCTCATGGTTGTGTCTACCAGGAAGTGGATCCAGAGAACAAAGAAGGTGTATCAATATCAAAGAACATAGTCAATGTGGCTGGAGATACACTAAAGAAAAATATAGCTTCACTAGGACCACTGGTTTTGCCATTGAGGGAGCAATTCCTATATGTGTTTTCCATTGTTTGTCGCAAACTATGGACTACAAGAAGAACAAGCATCTATACTCCAAATTTCAATCTTGCTTTTGAGCATTTCTGCATACATTCCGGTGGAAGAGCAGTTATACAAACAATTGAAAAAAACTTGAGGTTAAGGAAACAGGACGTGGAACCATCAAACATGACTCTTTACAGGTTTGGAAATACTTCATCATCTTCAATTTGGTATGAGCTGTGCTATATAGAAGCAAAAGGGAGGATGAAATGTGGTGATAGGGTGTGGCAAATTGCCTGTGGAAGTGGATTCAAGTGTAACAGTGCAGTGTGGAAATGTGTATGCGACGTGAAGCCAGACACTTCAAGTGCATGGAGGGAAACAATTCACTCATACCCTGTGGATATTGTGAGAATAAACTAAGGATACAGAACATTGTGGATTTGTGTCGTTGTACACATTAAGTTAGGCTGGCTTCAACTTTCAAACTCCCAACATCTTTGTTCCTTCTCAGTTAACAAAAGTGATCTCTATATTCACCTTGTGAACTAATAATTAATATTCTCCTATATGTTGGCACAAATTTGGGGATTAATTTGTGGTATGCTGCATAGAAAAGCTTTAAGTTTGTAGCTTCAATGCTCATGGGAGGAAATGTATCTCTCCTGTCATAATCTTCTTCTTGGCATTGATGCTGCTTATTTTCATGCCAAATATGTATATATAAATCCTGTCCATTGACTAATACGTAAGTATCTATACATCATCTAAAAAATGCAAATCAAACCAATTTTTGTTACGCTGTTTATCTTTATTTTCACTGACTTTATTCTGCTTTTAATTTTCTTTCTCACTTTTAGTCTATGCTGTAGACACACCATTGTCCCCATCGCCTTTTAAGTCACTAAATAACCTTTGTGTTGGGTCTAAACTCTATCTTCGCATTTGGATCGATAATCTGTTGCTCCCCCTGCAAAAACCAAGGATACTCAAATTAACAACGCGTTCTTTTCACTTTCTACGTAAGTTGAAAATATCTATATAGAGGTGTAAATGGGCAACCGACCTATAGGATTTACTGCTCAGCTTATATCAAGCCCAGGCTACAAGTTCTCTTTTACATGCCGAATCTATAAGTTTAAGCCTATAGGTCAGCCTATATTATAAGTTCTCATTGTCAGTAGAACGCAGCAACAAAATTGCCAAAATTTGAATGGGAAGATGGGGAAAAAACACTGCAATAGCCTATGATTGAATGCGAAGAGGAAGAAGAAATTGGAACGGCATGGAGCAAACCAGAGAAAATTGGGAATTAGGGTTTAGAAAAAAAAACATTGGGCTGGCCCGTGGTTAACCCCATCCCAACCCAAAAGATATGACGGTTATTGGGGCTAGGGTCAAAAATGGCCCTATGAAATAGGGGCTGAAATAAAATAGGGTTGAAAAATGGGGTTGTAGGGCTGGCCCGCAGGCTCTGGCCCGTTTTGACAGGTCTATCTATAGGTCAGCCTATATTATATTATTTATTTTAAATAATAATAAATTATTATTTCAATGATTTTGAATTATTTTAAAAATTATTAAATGTCTAATAGACTGAAACAGGCTAACAGACTATACCAAGGATTTTTGTTTTTTAAATATAGGTTATATCAGACTTATAATTTGAATTTACACAAGGCTACCCGGCCAGCTCTAAACTATTTTATACAAGCTTGACCTATTTAATCTAAAGTCTAACTCGACCCAGCCTTTACACCCTTATATGTATGCATATGGTAGAGCTTTTTTGCATTATGCACCGTGACAAATTTTTCCTTTTTTTTTAATTAAAGTTTCTAATAATAAGTAATTCCCTTCCATGAAGCAAGCATTCGAGCGACACATACTAGCCACCTCATAAGTCATTACAATTTTGTGTACAGAATGTAAGCTATGCTTCAAGCTCAGTTGTTAAAAGAGAATATTTACAATGAAGTCGTGTTTGAATTTGTTCATTTTACACCCATTTACGGTTTGTTTAGATTAAATTAATATGCATGTCCTAATTTTTATATTTAAAATTTATAAATACAGTTTCAAGAATACAAGACATTTTAAAATCTTCAAAATGTATGAACTTACAGGTTAATAACCTTTAAAAAAAAAATTGAGTTCCCATGCAGTTTGAACTCTACATTGGCCTTGGAGCAATATTTTAAGATACATCATACACAATATTAAGGTCATCCCAGGCCCCAAAAAGAGAAAGTAAAGAAATTTACAAGAATCAAACTAATTATCATAAAACCAAGTACTCGGGCTAAATAGCATACAGCCTATGGCCCCACAAAAAAGGGACCGTGTAGGTAGATCTTGCAATAGCCACCATTTCAAGAAAAGATTTTGTTAAGCACGATCCAAGGAATTACGCTTCCAGCTTAGCCTTTTAATTACACCAAAAGAAACAATAATTGTGATAACATTTTCAGGCTTCTTGTTTTAGATGAACAGGTAGTGCAGAAAATTAGACAAATCAAATAATAAATATCACAGTTGAGAACAGTGACATGTGGGCAAGGGCAGAGTGTTGTTTTATGCACACAACTGAAATGCAAAGCCATATGCGTAATAATAATCTACACGCAATCCAATGGTACAAAAAGGATGAGAAAAGTATGTTAAAAAAAGAGAATCATGATGCTCATTTTCAACCAACAAGTCATTTTACATCAAAGCCTCCAAATAATAGCGCATCCAATAAACTTGTGTACTATACATGGCAGAAAAAATAGCCTGAGATATGAGCGATCGTAGCTAGAATCGACGGATGTCTTTAGGAGGCCTGAAGTTAAGGGGATGGGTTTCTGGAGTGGCAGTTTCATCTTCTTTCCACATTTTTATGGTCTTGTCAGCTTCACAGGATATAAGCCTCGAACCCGTAACATCATATGTTAAAGCATAAATACCAGCTTCACTATCCAGTGAACCTGTAAGAGGAAAGTAGATTGAGTAATTATACTTGTCAATCGTGTGGTTATAGTAGAACTAACTGGTGTCAAACTAAACATCCAAGAGAAGCCAAATATGCATACCAGGTTGTACAATTGTTTGGTCTTGCTGGAAATTGTGACCACTCTTCCAATCCCAGAACCACATACTGCCATTGTCACCTTCAACCAGGAAAAAAAGAGAGCTTAAAGTTGAAGAATGCAAGGGAGAAAAAAAGGTATATCCATGTCAATTCCTTTTCAGTATCACCCAAAAAGTCAAGATTGGGGGACATTAATCCCTAATAGCATGGTCATGAAAAATCAGGACACGGATTAATAGACTTCACTCCATCAAAACATATTTCCCTACTAGAATTATACTTTGTTCTAGGTCCATACCTCCGGTAGCCATCACACCCTCCTCATTCACAGCCATTGCATTGATGATAGTTTTCTGTTGAGAGCTGCGCATAAAACATTGTAATGAAAACACGTCAGTTATTAGATTAATCTCTTTCCAACCATCTCTTTCCTCATTCACAACCATATATTGTATAGACAACTGAAACAAATAGTTCTTGTTTTTGTGTTTTATCTCATTAATGAACCCCCAAATCACATAAGTTTGATGATAACAATTTTATGAACTCACAGCATATTGTGCAAAAATTCTCCTTTTGGAAGGTTGAACTTTTTAATATTATCAGCCGATGCTGATGCAAAAAATTGCCTGCAACGAACAAAAAAGGAAAGATGGTGAGAAGACAAAAAAGAAATAACGTATGTAAAGAAAGATTGAATAACCAAATCCTATTTTATCATTCAAGTAACAAGCAACTGATCAGACACATACTCTTTAGGATGTGGAGCCAGTGCTCGAACCGATTTTTTATGATTTGTAAGGGTTAACATCGTTTTACCTGCACGAACGCATCATGTGTCAGGGACTCAGGATGACACAAAACACATACAGAAACATGCAAATGCAAATAATCCCAGCACAAACAGACAAACAAGAAGATAGGAAAAATAAAACCATAAATTACCATATCTAAGGTCCCACATCTTGATGGTAGTATCATGAGAACCAGTAACAACTTGGGGATCCTGTAAACAAAATAAGAACAGAATAAGGCCTCTGAAGAACAAAGAAAAAAGGTTTAAAAAAATAAAAAAACAAATTAAGAAATGTTTCAAAGCTGCATTCAAATGTTGAGGTCTACTTTCCCATTTATCATATCAAAGAACTTGAAACTAAGCCAATCTGATCATCTACATGCCAGTCTTACAGATATGGTATGTCAGAGGACAAAACTAGATACACATGTAGATTAATGACCATACAATATTGTGGCACTATTCTAAATATCAAAAGAAAAAATATTACAGACAACAGAAGAATCTGGATACCGTTGGCCGTGTAAACACAGAGCAGACTGTGTTATCATGACCTGAAAGAGCATGAATCTGCATTTTACTACGTATGTCCCAGACCTGAAAATTTAGTGTCACCAAAGCTTAGTTAACATGTTTATACTTCCTTAATAACGAATACAAGATACAGGAACTGTTTAGCAGAAATGATTGCATCCATCTAAATATACCATAAAGTAACTATATTATCAACAAAGTCCATACCCTGCAGACAGAATCACGTCCTCCAGTCAGTAAAATGTCAATTGTAGGATGAAGAGCCAAGCAATAAACACCACTTAGATGACCATGATAAGACCTAATAACCTAAAACAATAACGAGTTTTAGTAGCCTGTTATTGATAGGGTTTCAGTAATTACTGAAATATTCAGTCCAGAAAAACAAAAATTGAAACAGGGATTTGACCTTATTCTGTTCCAGATCCCAGCATTTAACTTGTTTATCATCACCAGCAGAGAACATGTAAGTGTGTTTGTTGCTAACAGCAAGGCCTGTAAACAGAGCACACTGTTATTATTAACCTGGGTCCTGGTTCACAATTGCTGCCACCACTAATAAAACCATTGTTTCTTACCTCTTATTTGTTCAATGTGGCCTGTTAATGTGAGCTTTAGTACTCCACTTGCCAAGTCCCATATCTGCCCGAATGAACAACTTAAAAACATCCAAAGTTTTCAAGAATAGGAGACAACTAAATAATATACTTGTCATGATAAGTTCATACACTATATATATATATATATATATATATATATATATATATATATATATATATATATATATATATATATTTATATTCCGGATTCATCGACAACCGACCCCAATTGGTTTGGGATAAAGGTAGTGTTGATGTTGATGATAAGTTCATAAACTAATTGAAAAAAATTAGCATCAATTTATAGCAACTACATGGTAATAATGGAGTCCATATTTGTCACAATTAAATAATTGAAATGTTGAGTAAAAATAACACTAGGAAAAGGGCAACCATACAAGAATAATCAAAGTAATATTGCAGAGGCACCAAATATCTTATAATTATCAAAAAAATATGAAGCAGTGACAAAGTTGAATGTGGGAAATACTTATGAAAAGGCAGAGTTGTTTTGGGTTGTGTTTAATGCTAGTGCAGGACAGCACAAATAGATTTTGTAACAGGACAATTTTTGTGTGGCACAAGTAGTTGAGTAACAGGACAATTTTTGAGTTTTTAGCTATTTGATGAGCAAAGCACAAGACAAAAAATTGTGATACCTAAGGATATAATAAAGAAATTATTATGACACCCTTTGTGTTATCCATTGTTTTGCGCACAATAAAGGTGGGATGATGAAGGGATAGGGGTTATTGGTATTTTTCTCTTTTTGTGTTGTAGACAAGATTTTGTACCTTGATTTAGAGTGTAACAAAAATTTAGAAATTTTTGTTGTCCGTTGAGTTGCTTTTGTCCCTTATACTATTTGAACAATCAAACAAGGTTCAATTTTTTTGTGCTGTACTATCCCGTACTTTTTAGCAAATCCAACGAACTCTTAGAATAAATTATAAAGAAGGAAAGTAACCTACAGAAAAAACAATTCAACAAGGCTCACTAAGTTTTCCTTCTTTTCTTCATGCCTTCTCATAACAAGCAACTATGACATTCATTTCGTGATCAAATACCTTGATAGTTCGATCTGCAGAACCAGTACAAAACCATGTATTGCTGTGATCAACTGCAACAGATCTCACCCATCCTAAGTGACCACTGATGACCTACGGATAATAAATCAAGGTTAAAATTACTCAATCAAAACTATATCGAAGTTAAAATTAATTAAAATTACTCAAGCTTTCTACGTATAACTCTATTTTATATGTGCATGAAAATCCAAGTTAAAATTGTACTAGTTGTAAGAAAATAGGGCAATAGAATGATGGAACTAAACTGAGGTGTCACTAGGCTAAACTACTAGCTGGTGCACCATGCATGCCCAATTACATATGTTTTGGTTCAGAGAATCTGAGAATGAAAAACAACAAATCCTAATGCCACCCATCCATCATTAGATATAGTTGAACTTGAAAAAGGGGTCAGGTTCTCACCCTGTAGTTTTTCCATGGTGCGTGCCATACAGGACGTGGCCATTTACTTGGCATTCTTTCCATCAAAGCAGATGTTGATAAATTCCTGAAATATAGAAACTATTAACAGTTCATTAAAAAAGGTCATACCAACAGAATGTCAATCCCACATAACACAATCCAACATGGGCAAATGCATATACGCATTTTGAGTAAACAACAGAAGATAGTGTACAGAACTAACAAAATGAGCATTGCACTCTTAGAAGCATATAATGCCAACAGTCACAGCTAGAAATTGTAAATCATCTTAGAATCTCTTAAACTATAGAAGGGATAGAGAGAAAGCCAGAACCTTTCAGATGAACCAGAGGCCGAAACAACTACTGTATTTTTGCTCGAAAAACCAAGATCATTCCTGTAAATTAACAAAAACATGAGAACTAATCATATTCAATAACAGCTTTTCAAAAACTTTGCATGCTGTGTGTGACACAATCCATGCTTCAATTTTGCAACCCATAGCTTTCCTTTCTACAATCACACGGAATATAATGCAAGTGATTTGAAGAAACTGTATTAAAATCTCTGAATACAACAAGTCATTAAAAACCAAAAAAAGACAATTGGAACGGAATACTTCATAAGGCATGGAGTCCCATCTTTGTTTTTTCTTTTGAAAATAAAATGCCACACCTCAGAAAACTTCCATCAATTTCTAATCTTCAATCAAGTTTACACAGTAAACAGTTTCTTATTATTTTGAAAACCAAATAGGTTCTTCAAACAATATTTTAGAATACCGAATACTACATTATTCATTATTCAACTTCTGCAAGCAGAATATATGATTCAAATCACAACTGTTATATAGACTAATATGTCAGCGAATATAAATTTTTGAATAATTGAAGAACTATAAAGAAAAATAATTTCTGATACGCATGAGCAAAACAAATTATTCATGAGGGAAAAATTCTCCTTGACCCACATCTATATGCGCAAAGTTCAAGAAAAATGGAGGAGAGTATATTACGGAGTTGTGGAGGGCATAGCTGGACCAACAACCAAAGCATTCTGGGGTCCTCCTTTTTGGGGCTCTTTAGAATCTCCTGGACCTGTCAAATAATAAGAAGAAACAATATCAACAGGTTGGGCAGTAACAACCAGATTCTCTTAATTATTAAAGAATAATTACAAGGAAAATTTCTCAGAAAAGATATCATGCTAAAATTCCAAATAAAGGGGGAAAAACATAATGGGGGGGAATGCAAGAGTTTTAAAGAGGGCCAACCAACCTAAAATAAATACTACAGAAAATGACAAAACATGCAAGAGGGCACATCAACCTGGTGCTATTAGATGCCAAATGTGGGTACATCATACTGTCATAATACGCAAATGAGAAAGAAAAAAAAGAGCATAAAGGTTCAAGATTCAAGAATTATGTAAAGGCACACACAAGAGTTGGCATTCCTTAAATTTAAGGTCAAAATTATTTGTTGTCATAATCATTTTTAACAGTAAAGTCGCATAGTTATTCCTATGGAAGAAGGAGATGTCCTGAGACTTAAGGTCAGCAGATTCCTATAATTTTTACCCTCAAAAATATATAGTGCAATATCCAAACAAAATTTACCATACTTACTCTCCTACAAAGTCAAAAAAAAAAGAGAGAAAAAAAAAAGGCAATAACCGTACACTCATACTGATATATAATAAAGATAATAACAATATAACAAGAACATTTTAACCACATACAACAAAAAGATGCTGAGAAATCATAACCACCCTAAATTCAATTCATCATTTTCCCTCAAGCTAGATTTTCCATATCATCAGACCATGATTATAACTATGAGTATTGTACCGGGAAGAGCAAGAGCTTGTTGAGTGTGATCCTGTGCGGAAGAATTAACTTGACGGGGAGGTTGATCAGTGGTGCTTTTGATTCCACCATACTCCACATTTACCTAATTTTCATTCCAAACAATATAGCATAACTGCCTCTGTTCAATGTCCAATAGTTATTTAATAAAAAAAACCCAAAATAAAAATAAAAATTGAAATTACTCAAATTAATCCAAAGTTCGTTCATTCTTGTCGTTTAGGGTTTTAAGAAAAAAATTCAAGGGCATTATGACTATCAAATTAACATTAACAAAACTCAAACCCATGATTAGGATTAAGATTAACTAACCTTGTGGTTAAGGCGTGTTCTCTTGCTGCATGAGTAGAAAACGGAGAGAAAAGTTAAGATTGTGGAGAACCAAGACACAAAGTTAAGATTTTGAAAAAAAAGGGGATACCTTAGTGGGTCAGGAGGAGCAAGTTGTCCATGAATGGGAGAGAAGAGATCGAGGGCACGTTTAAGGGACTTGAAGCTTAGCTTCTTCAGTGACTGTGGTTCTACTGCTTCCGCCTCCATCAAATCTACGTCTAGGGTTTAGGGTTTCTCACTCTCTCTCTCACTCCAGGATTCAACACAAGAATGGATTCGATTAAGAACTGCACGCTGCTGTACAAAACATAAGTTGCACCCTGATACCAAACACGTCAAAAAGAAATTTCGGTAAAATAAATTACCACTTTTTTAAATATTTAAACGTAAGGCAGCCGAATGTATTGGATTAGGATTTTAAAAAAAAATTACAAGATAGAAAATCTTATACATTTTAGAGTAAATACGTTTTTCGATTCCTCACCAAATTTTACGATACCCGCTTTAGTCCTGGCAAATAAAAAGACTATTCGTGGTCGTTTTAGTCCCTGGCAAATAAAAGAGTTATTCATGGTCCTTAAGAAATTCAAAATGGATTCATTTTAGTCCTTTTGAGGGACTAATGTGAATTTTTTTTGAATTTGTAAGGGACCACGATTTTAACTAAATTGATCCATTTTGAATTTTTTTAAGGACTATGAATAACCTTTTTATTTGCTAGGGAATAAAGCGGGTATCGTGAAATTTGCTGAGGGTATTTACTTTGGATTTTAAAAGATTATTCAGTATTGGAGAGACTTTAAATACTTTTATAAAAGACCTTTTTACAATCAAAATTTCATAAGATTGAATTTTAATAGAATTTATAATATTTGAAAGGACAATATGGATTTATAAGATTTTAAAAAATCATATGAACAAAATTACAAGAGTCAACAAAAAAATGCAATGATATTAATAAATAAAAAAGTAAAACGTAATATAATTTTCTCAATTACTAAAATTCATGATAAATTTTTGTTTGGAATTTTTTGCAATTGATATTGTAAACCTTGGGGTTTTTGTTCTCCATAACGAGAGTTTTCTAACCATATATTATATGCATGTTTTCATTGAGTATTCCAAGAAAATTTCGAATCTAAATTTCTGAGTTTTATTACATAAAAGTTTAGAAAATTTCTCAAATTATTTTCAATCGATATATTGAAATCTTAAATTGCTTTGGGGGTTTTGAAAAATAAGTTTTTAATTATCTATTGACATAAAAATTGTTTGAAATCGTTTCATATATAGAGAAGGAATTTTGTTCATGAATGTATTATTATGAAACATAGGGTTCATATAATGAAAATTTCAATATTTCTTTAAATAAATCTTGTTTCATTGATGTAAAATGAAAATTGGTTTGGGGGGTTTTTTGTTCCCTTGTTGTTTTCCCACTATTTTATGTTGTTTTTAATACAAAAATCACACATTTTCTTACCAAGAAAAATAATAACCAATAGCTTGAAAAATCATTTTTAAACTCTCAAAAATTGCTTCAAAATATGCTATTTTTTAGATGAATTAGATTAAAATCATGACCGAGGTGTTGTTTCTGGGTACACCTCCAGACTCTCAGCCACGCGCTCTCACGCGGGTGAGACAGCCATTGCAGCCCATTTTCTTGTAGCGGCGCGTGAAGCTCCGGCTTACCGTCGGACCACCACAGTTCACCTCGTCTTCTACCTGGAGTTGTCCTCACTTTGTGGTTTTGACTTCGTTACGACTTCCCATAGCGTCTTTTCCCTTGTTGGTTACTGTTCACGCGTGTTTCTTTGCTTTCCGTTATTGTTCATCTTTGTTTCAGGTGACCTATGGCTGATTCGTCACTCCACGATGCATCCTGTAACACCTCGTGTATATCCGGTTTGTTATCATATCATCGTATTAAGCTACACTTAATAAAAATTGCGGAATAAACTTTTTCTTTTGAATTGTGACGTCATTATCAATTACCAAGTTGATTACATAGTTCTTTTCAAAATAATGCTTGTATGTAATTGCAAATCGACAGCTAGTTACACTGAATAACCTCAGTACATAAATAGGTGAGTATCTAAGTCACGGATCTACAACATATAGTCCGGACAATATCCTGATACATTATACAACTTAATGCTAAATAAAACATAATCAATCAATGTGGCATGGACAACTCCCATGCTCACCAAATAAGGCAACAAAACCCCAAAAAAGTCTCAACAACAACATCATAATAATAACATAAAGCATATCAGCACCCAAGCACATCATCATGATCAGCATATAACTAACTCGGCTCCGGCCTTATGACGCCCGAGGTCTCAACCCCAGAGTTACCTGAACATGAAATATGTACCCCAAACGTGAGGTGAGATCTCTAAACAGAAATCTCAGTAAGGCAAGGGGTCCTCAAAGATTTCTCCACCCAAGCTCACTTACATGTGCAATATAAGTTCTAAGAGCAATATACAATATCAGTTCTAAAATCAGTGCAATGCAGCAGAATAATCATGTCATGTGTGTCATCTATTCTATTGGCCAGAGAAATGCAGGACTTATATACGTCTATTGCCTACATTCAGTGCAAGTCACTACTTACACTCACCCACAGAATCACCCTATGGCATGTCTACTACATACATAGGCTTACCGTCTAGGTGGAACAACACAAGCATATTATAAGCACTTGCACATAACAACTCAACAGCATTTCAAAATTCAATACATGAAAACACATCATGCATATAAACCATCCACCCATGGGGTATGGAGGAACCAACAATGGCTAAACCGAGGACACGAAAGCCTACCTCGCAAGCTTACTATCCAAGCCAAGCTCACACTAGCTCAATGCCCACAAACAGAATAATCACAATCTGTTTATACAATAATTAATCATCAATAATCATTGCCCAAGGTTACATTAAGTGATTAAGGCTTTTCAACTCATTTTAAGCCATTTTATGCAAATTTTGCAGGAGGTATTTGAATACTCCTCGATGAGTATTCGAATACTCCATGTCTCCAGAAAGTATCCGAATACTTTCACTCAAGTATTCGAATACCACAAGGTATCCGAATACTTTTCCCCCAGTATCCGAATACCACCAGGTATCCGAATACAAATACCACAAGATTCGAATACTACCCAGTATTCGAATACTTATTCAATGGTATCCGAATACTTTTCTTCCCAGAAAAGTATCCCAATACTCCTCCAAGGAGTATTCGACTACCAAGGGATAAGTATTCGAATACTACACGAAAATTATTCGAATACTTATCAGACAGAATGCAGAAATTCGTGCATTCTCTGCATAAGTCCCATTTTAAAAGTCCAAACTCAATTTGGAGTCCAATGACTCCTTAAACAGATGTTCCTTAACATGTTTAAGACTCAGAATCTCAGTCTTTAACTCAAATGATCCAAGTTTCAATTTTTAATGGATTAAACAAGCTTAAATCATGAAAATACAAAAACTATGATCATGGTATACCTCTAAAGCTCAAAACTCCAAAAATGACACTGACTTGGAGTCCTCTACACGGCACAATGGTTATAACTTAAGAGAACCACGAAAATATTGATCAAACAAGGTCCTTTCTCCACAAAGTTAGCTTCTTGGAGCCTTCAATGGTAAGAAAATGACTCTCACCAATGGGAACCACCAACTCAGCCCATAACTCATACTAAGACAGTAGCTACCACTCAGAAATGGAGAACCTTTCACCCTCCAATGGCTTAAACACACTCACACAAGGAGTCTTTATGAAAAACTCAAGAGAAATGGTATTCTCAAGAGGCTTCAATGGTGAGGGAAGGTAATGAAATGGTGAAGGGAAGGTGGCAGCAGTCAAATGGCACCAGAAGGCTCTACGTAGGGGTATAACAATCTGACCTAGGGCTTTGTGCTTTTTAACTTATATAGGTCCACTTATTAATCACACAGTATTAGCACTAATAGCTACGCTTATCGTTTTAATCTCAAACTTATGATTCTGAACCTAGCCATTTTTCTAAGATTTTTCATATTTTTATTATAATTTTGCGCAGCACTTTGCCGGTACATGCTTTTACAGAGCCAATATCAGTTATGACACCAGTTCTCATTATTTTGACTTGAAACTTGTTATGCTAGTCCTATATATTATTCTAGTAACATATACATACTTTTCATAATTTTTTGAGACACTTCATCGGTACGCATTTATACCGTAGAGCAGAATCGGTATCTGCAATTTTTGTCAGAAAAGCGACTTTCAACCTTATAATTCACTTACCATAATTATTTAAGCATTCTCATAATTATTGTGGTCAATTATGGAATTATTTCATTAATATCATAATTATTTAATTAAATTTCTAATTTAATAGTGCGGGTTCTTACACATCCAAGGGTTCTCAAAAGAATGACACGCCTATTTTTACTAATTATGTTAATGTTCCACTGCACGTCGACAAGTTGGATGGCTCCAATTATGATTCTTGGGCTTCTGATCTCCGACTTTGGCTTGATGGACAGGATTATGCTGACCATCTCATTACTAAGGCTGAGTCCATCTCGGTAGATGAACGCCCTCGATGGAAAAATGTTGATGCTTAGTTATGTAGCATCATCAAGTCTACCATCCACCCGTCATTGAAGTAGATCTTTCGTGCTCACGTCACTTGTGAGTCTGTTTGGCGTCAGGCCAAGTCACTTTATACCAATGACACTCAGCGACTCTATGGTGTTTGTCAAAATTTGATAACTATTATTGATGCTCAACACTTTGATGTCTCTATGTCTGCTTATTTAGGAAAAGTTCAGGGTCTCCTTCATGATTTCAATGAACTTTTTTCGCCTGCTGCAGACCCTGCTAAGGAACTTGAGCAACGCAGCACATTCTTCATGCTCATGGCTCTTTATGGTTTTCCCCCGGAGTACTCTGTCAACCGGGATCAGATCTTGGGCTCCACTATTGTTCCATCCCTGGACTCTGTTTGGTCTACGTTGCTTCGAATTCCACCTAAGTCTGCTATGGAGCCTGCAGTATCTGCTCCCTCTTCAATTGACCCTTTTGCACTTGTTTCCAAGGGTTATGCACGTGGACGCAAACCCTTTAAGGGACGCCCTCTCTGCACTCATTGCAACAAGTCGGGCCATACTATTGATCGTTGCTGGGATCTTCACGGTCGCCCTCCCCGCTCCGCTAATTTTGCTCTGATACCATTTAAAGAACCAATTCAACCCAAAAACTTAAGCTGTTGGGTGAGGCTATATTAATGATTTTATATATATCTCAACAACGATGATGATTCATAACACTCTAAACTAAAACGGCCTATATGCTTCCGCAAATTCAATTGCGGCAACATAAACTTCCTTGATTGTAAGTGTATTTTTTAGTAGACGATGAGTGAAAAACAGGAATAGTGACCAAAATTCCACTATTCACTGTCTTTTTTACCTAAATGCCATGCGAACAGTTATTTCCCAATATGCCACGCGGGCATATTCGCTACAGTGCCCAGCGAACTTGGTAGCCAATGATTTCGTTACATGTGGCACATTTTCGCAGAAAAAGTTGACTGCCACATGTCCAAGTTCGCTACGACTGGTAGCGAACTTGGTAGCCAATGATTTCGTGACACGTGGCACACTTTTGCAGAAAAAGCTGACTGGACGAAGTTCGCTACCAGGGGTAGCGAACTTAGTGTGCTAGATGGCACAATCTCATTACCTGATCAGAATTAATGTTCCAATCACAATAAAAAAAACAGAAAATAAAGGAAAATGACAATTAATTATGATTAATGTATTAATCACAATTAATATACCAATCACCAATCACAATTAATATATCACTCACCATTCACAATTAATTTTGATCACAATTAATGTACCAATCACCAATCATAATTAATGTATCAATCACAATTAATTTTGATCGGTACATTAATTGTTTGTGATATCATTGTTACAAATTCGAAAGATGTTTGTGAGAGATAAAATATGTCAAATGAGGTGTCATTGGGTAGATATCGAAAAGTTATATGAAATAAAATAAAAAAATATCTGATTTGGATATCCGAATCAAAAGTTATGACCCTCCGAAGTGATTGGTGATTGGTACATTAATTGTGATTGACACATTAATTGTGATTGCTAATTGGCACATTAATTTTGATTGACACATTAATTAAATTATCATTTTCCTTCATTTTCTGTGTTTTGTTGTGATTGATACATTAATTCTGATTGTGCCACGTGGCACCTAGTTCGCTTGGACCCTCAGCGAACTTGGTGCATGTCAGACACGTGGCACACCTAGTTTGCTGCATTTGGCAGCGAACTTCTCCAATTTGTCAGCATTTATTGCAACATAGTTCGCTACTGGAGTAGCGAACTTGTTGTCCACCAGAAACGTGCCATGTCAGCAAACCAAGTTCGCTGGGCACTGTAGGGAACTTGTCCGCGTGGCATATTGAGAAATAACACTGTTCGCGTGGCATTTAGGTAAAAAAGTCAGTGAACAGTGGCCTTTTGGTCACTGTTCCTGAAAAACAAGCGACTAACAATAAGTGTATAGATGTATAGATGTTTTAATATGTTCAATGTACTAGTCAGATATTTATTTTTATATAATTTAATTATAACTTATACAATACATAAAGTAAAACATAAGTATTATATATATATATATATATATATATATATATATATATATATATATATATATAGGGTTTTATAAGAGTTATGTTGTAGGAAAAGTGATTGTGTAATATTATAGAGATCGTTTTGCGTGCCGTAATTTCTTTTTTTTCTTTTTTTCTTCAAAAAGTGTGGGCCCCACAAAATGTTGTGTGTGTAGGAAAGTTTATTGTGTCATGTTAAATGACAAATGCAAACCCCATATATATATATATATAGGCAGAATAAAATAATGACAACTTACTCTAAATTTTCAAAATCATAGTCCAAAGGAATAACACTTTGGTTTTGTTACAATAGCATTCCCTGTACAGTGAAAACAATAAGCTATTCACAATGGTTTTTATCAAAAGGAAAACTTATATATTTACTATAGTAATCCCTGATGTAAAATTTGTACTGTAAGTCTTTTGGCAGATGAATTTATTGCAATCTTCTAGCATTTGGTTTGGCAATGGCATCACAACATGACTAAGCCAGCAGGACAAGTTGTCTTTGTTGTAATACCTGGCCAAAGCATTGAACTTGAAAGGATCTGTATGTATAAACAGTAGGTTGAAGCTCTTCCTACAGAGGGATCCAGCCCTGTAATTGAGGAATAAGGATGAGGACAATGTCATGGCTAAACATTTTTTTAGGCAAATAAATAAAAAGGGGTTAGATGAGTTGAGTGTACCTTGATTAGTCCCATCTCAGTACCACAAAGAATAATGTCATTGGCGGCCAGGATGCTTGTTATCTTGCTTCCTGCTGATATTCTCCCCAACTTTTTTGGTGCCCCTCTCAACCAGATCTGCTTTGGGAAGTTGGTTTCAAGTTAAACAGTTGATTTGCTATTTTATTTTTTTTTAAATGATAGACCCTAAAGATTTTACCTAGGATCAGTTTCATATAAAGGGAAAAGGGTAAACCCAGTGCACAAGGTTCCCCGACTTGAGAGAGTAGGGGTGAGGGTTGATTCTACGCAGTTTTACCGTTGCATTTTTACAAAGAGACTGTTTTACAGACTCAAACCTTACTGTTGCTTTAAGGCTCGTACCTTCCGATCACAAATAGCAACCTTACTGTTGCTTTAAGGCTCGTACCGTCAATTTGGTATGATGTCAAAATTCATGGATCATTTTATTGGTAAAATTGTATGGAAAATTGATATATGAATTTTTCACCCATCATTTTTATCCCCATACCAAATGACCCTTAAATGTAAGTTGTCTACCAGAATTTTATATATTTTCATTTAACCATATCAGTGAAAATGGACCAAATATATATTTGTACATAATTTGACACCGGAAGTAGTCTTGTGAAGCCCATCAAGTGTTTTTTCCAATGTTGTAAAAACGTAGTGTTGAATCGTAAAAACGGACCTTGTCTACGTTTTTATGACCAAAATTGAGTCAAAACAGTAGTTGAAACGGGTTTTAAGTCGAAACGGTTCAAATGTAGTGTCGAAACAATTTTTTTTTTGCATAGTTCAAATATATTTATATATATATATATATAACACGTAATAATAAAAAAAATTATATATATTTTTAGTCATTAATTAGCTTAAATTTAATAACTTATATAATTAATACATTAAAATTATTCTATATAAAAAAGATTAAAATTGATATTCTCACAAAATAAACATGTTTGTGGGTTTTGGTATTATATATGTTGGATATATATTTTATTTTTAATACGTTAATAAACTCTTATGTTTCATTTATGTTTTGCGATTGTACATTTTTGCTCACCCCTACCGTTTTTACATTGACTCTACGTTTTAAATACATTGGTTTTTCCCTAAGCACATCCTTGCTTAAATTGATAATATTTCATGAAGTATGTTTAACTACCTGAATGTTGTTTGCTGATGAGCTGGAGATCAGGTATAAGAAATCTTCTACCACTTCCATGGCCACCACATTATCTCCTTTGTCACTAAGGATTGAAATTTTGGGTTTCCTAGTTCTTTTCCATTCCTATATAATCCACCCATGTCAGGAAAAAGCAAAGCATTGTCAAACTCAAAAAATATAATTAATTATCACCTTGAATGTTGTGCCTTCAACATGCCTACTTGCACTATAGAGCCAATCTCTATATGCTACAACTGAATTGATGGGCTTACTTTGCTTCCTCCAACTCCTTGTAGGTGCTTTGATTTCTATTTCCCGGTTGTATGTTTTGGAATACTCCTAAAATAAAGCATCATATCATGCTTATATTTTAGGGGAAAATACTTCTTATGTGACTGCAGAAGGGAAAAAGTGCAGCAACACTTTCTTTTATCAGGATACGCGTCTGAATCCTGGTTTTTTTTTTTTATAGAATCCGCACGTGTATCCTAGGATCCGCACGTGTATCCTAGTGTTAAAAATTTGCTGCAACTTTTCTCATCAGCAGTCACATGAGAAGCAACGGACCCTATATTTTATTGGTACTAGAATGCATGTCAAGCAACAAAATACTAACCTGTATGCTTGAATCTGTGCAGCCAATGTATAACTTTCCCTGAGCCACTGCCATGCACTTTGCTTGCTTACCTTTGATAATATCTCCTATCACTCTTGATTCTTTAATTAGCTGCAAATGGTAAAAAAAAAAAAAAAAATATTCTATTGAACTAATCAAAACAGTGGTCAACTTCAGTATAGCTAGATAATAGAGAAGACTTTGTGGTATATATGTGTGTGACTTTGTTTTAAAGTTTCAATGATACAAGTCACAAATCATTGAAGCATCACCTTTATTCCATGGCTTTCAGTAATTGCAAAAATTGTTTCACCATGTGCCCGTAAATGATGAATTGGTTCCTTCAAGACTATTACTTCAACACATTCCATCTTTTTCTGGATCATTTTCCACACCTAGTTTATGTATGTAATTGTAAGATAATCAGTTCATTTTTGCTATTAGAAATATTGGAAGAGAATAGAAAGTGGTGGCCATGGAAGAAGTTTAACCTTACCCTTATGGTTTTATCGGTGGATCCACTTAAAAGGCTGTCTGATGGTTCATAAAGTGAAAAACATGTCACAGACTTCTTGTGCTCTTTAATGTCCCATACAAGACTGGCAGAGTGCCCCCTAGTATCCCATACCTTTTTGATGCACCAACATACAGTGGTTTTACTTTTTCCATACAGAAAATTACACCTCAAAAACTTCCATAGTTACTATGTCCACCAAGATTTTCTTTATTTGATGACTTACAGCGAGTAAAGACATGATTTAGCATGTAGTTTATAGATATAAAAAAATTCATAACTTCTTGATAAGATCGTGTGTTGTGTTACCTTGATTGATCCATCTGAATATCCACTGAATAGAAGTCCCTTGTAGTATATGAGGGAGCAAACTGCCATGCTGAAGTTGCGACCTGTCTCAAGGATTTGTGTGTGAACACAAGAAATACGCTGCTCTTACCACCACGATGATTTGTAAGACGTCACAAAATGAATCAGTTAGTGCAAGTTAGTAATACTAAATAAATAGGCAGCAAGAAGCTCAAGATTAAGCTCCTCAGAGCAATATCATAAGTCATTTACTATGTTCAATATGCTAAGAGGGAGAGCGTGGAACAGTGATAGAATCTGAGAAACAGTGTTTTTTATAAAAATATGCGAGGGTAAGGCTAAGTATTCATTGTCTTTGTAAAGAACCAATTCAACCCAAAAGTTAAGCTGTTGGGTGAAGCTACATTAATGATTTTATATATCTCAACACGCACCCTCACACGAGAGCCCAGTGCGAAAAAAGAAATTCCACTAGAAAGAAAGTGGGGGGCAATGAGAATCGAACCCAGGACACGAGGCTCTGATACCATGTAAAGAACCAATTCAACCCAAAAGCTTAAGCTGTTGGGTGAGGCTACATTAATGGTTTTATATATCTCAACAGTCTCACCAATTATCTTTTATCTAAATGCTGTGTTCTTACACTTTTTCTTTATTGACTTCAAAAACCCTTATATTTCCAGTAAAAATGGAGATGATAATGAAAAATCCCTCATCAAGTTGGTCTTAGCCTACTGGTGTACATAGTTTTGGCATAAAAAAAATGTCCTAAAACTGTCATAATATTCATGCAAGGAATTAAAGCTATTGGATATACAATGTCAGATCATGAATTATTCTAATAATGGGAAATTTACACAAGTTCTTAACTTCTTATATAATATTGATGCAAGTGCTACAACTCTAGCACATGAATGAGTACTCACTGATATGTTTGGCAGCAAAAAATCGGTTACTTTGTGTAATTCCTCAGCCATCCAAATTACATTTGAAAGGCGTCTTAGCGATTGCTTTACTCCTTCTGAGAAATGAATTAGTTTTTGCTTTCCTACATGAAAAATGCTATCTGACTTAGTAGATGAAATTGATAATTCTTGATGCACTGCTATCAAGTGGTACATAAGTTGAATAGCATTTGGATGAGAAAGACAAAGCAATGCTTTAATTGTTATACACGAGATAATCAACACATGGTGCTACAACAAAATTTCTATCTTTGTTTAAAACTGATTTTTTGCTTATTAATAGTGCATAACATTTTATTAATTGACATAAACTAAGATGAGGACTGAAGACAATACCTTTCCCAGAGGCATAATTAAAAATGCATAGACATGCTAGAAGTCTTTCTTCCAACTCCATCCCAGGATGTAGAAATTGCTCAATTCCACTTAGTATAATCTCAGATGTAGAATAACTGAGGCTGTCTGGGATTTTTGATACTTGACATCCAAGCCATGAAATGGTTACAAGGCAGTCTCTAGAAACCCTTTTGATCTTGCTTCTTAGCCCCCTTTCTAAAGTATGGAACATAGAATCCCCAACACTCATGACACATTTGGCAATTTTACTGCACCATAAATCTGTGCTAGTATCCTGCATGTTATGAAATTTACTCATCTCCTTAATTGCATGCTGCATAGCACTTCTCATACATGTACTTTGAACTTTCTGACATTAAACCTTTTTGGAAGCTTACCTGTAGACTCTGATCCAACCAGTTGAAGTTTCTTATCATATTCTGATGATAGGGAGATGTCAAGCCTGTCTTTCTAAGCAACCATGCAGCTGTATATGGTTCCCCAGTCCAAGCATATGTCCCAGCAAGATTTGAAAGAATGGATGCAGATAATATCTGCTCTGAGCTTTCTTGAGATGCCAATGCCCTCAGAAGGATCTGCACTGCTTCTTCTCTAAACAAGCTTTTATCCTGTGAATTCTGCAAGATATTTTGTTAAGGGTCCTCAAATTTCACATATTATCTTGTCCGAATCATTAAATCAATTATATATATCCACATCTAAAATTTTCATGAAAAATAAAGGTTGCTAAACTTTAAATTATTTCAATTAAAAGGGCAAGATACTTTTCTATGGCCTTATGCCAAAATATGTCATTTAGTGACTTCATATACAAACTTTTTAATATATGATATCCAAGTAATCCTTTTTATACATATTATTGTTGCTTCTTAGTTAATCAATAACCTCATGTCAATTGAGTTAACAAAATTGAATGGAATGTTCTGATATACTGACTTAATATTTTTGTCCCATTATAGGAGTTTCATGATTGAACTTCATGACCTGTGAACTTATATTTTTCTGAATTTTGAAAATTACCAATGCGTCTAACTGAAGCAATATGTTTGCCGCTAAAAGCTGGTGATCAGGTTGCAATTGATGTGCACAACGCATTAGTATCTGCATGATATCAATGCTTCTTTCTTGCTGTATACGCTGCAACAGACTAATAGCAGATGATCTGAAAACAAAAATAGAAAAATAATAACAGAAAGCTCTCTTTGGACAATGATTACAACAAATATTTGAACAAAGCATCAAATATGCATGTTAAATAATTTATGCTACAAATTCTGCTCAATTATATTCAAATAAAATGCAAATTAGAGAATTGGTTAAGTAGTTATATACCGTGGTATGCAAAGGATTTCATGAAAAAATTCAAGTGCCACGCATTTGGCTCGAGTGTTTTCTGCCTGGAGAAGGTGGATAAAGGGAGCAAGAGGAGTGAATTGTGACACATACTTTCTGCACTGTGCATCAAACTGCATGCATTTTATAAGAATGGTGATCAAAGAGAAAAATCCTTCAAGATTATCATTTCTGACAACTTCTAGAAGTCCACTTAGAACATGAGGGGAACTGATTGCAGCCAAATGCATGTTATTTGTAGCATAATCAAATGAAGTAACTAGTTCTTCAATGATCATCAATGATGCTGCATGAGGTGTCAGAAGAAATGACTCTGGCTTATTCTTGTAACTATGTGAAGTGCATACAATATCCACTAATATTGGCAGAAGTTCCAATGTTTTTATATCTGTAGGAGATGGATTTATTAAATAGATTAGAATTGCTGCCTCATGGACATTTTGTTTTAGAGCACTTGCAAGATCATACAACCTTAAACCTTTCTTCTTGACATCTTCTATAATTGACTTATTCCTTGAAATTATTGTTGTCAGAATAGTTACTGATGCCCTTAATTCTCTTTCCTCTTTGGAACTAGAGATAGCTATTAGCAGTTCATCCAAAATCACATCCTTTAAGGAAGCACAAGTAGTGCCTGATGAACTAATCAAACTCTCATAAATGGATGCAATGTCTACAATATATTCTTCACCACATTTTCCTAATGCCTCTGGATATTGTAGTTCTGAAATTCTCCTTTCAGTCAGTCCTGATAGATCATTCAGGGAATATCTTCTGGATTTTGAACAAACTTCATTGAAGTTTCCTTGGCTATATGATCTTTTCAATTTCATGTCAGAGCTTTCTTCATGATTTTTCTGGATGAGCCTATGTTTGCAAGCAGATGTTAATGTCACATGATCAAAGAGATGGAATTTTAGTGGATGCAATGCTTCCTCGATCAATTCATCCTCTACAACACGGCAATTTAAATGGCTGTTTCTTGTTTTATCTCTGTATTGTGAGATAGATAAAGTAACATCCTCTATGGACCTGGTGAATCTGCTAGAATCAATCCTAATTATGTTTCTTTCATCCAAATGTTCTTGCGTTGGATCTTGAGGAGCTTGAGGCAAACCTGAGTATTGATGTAGCTTCCTGTGAAGGTCAGTATTATTAAATTCCAGAAGATAATTATGCACTATAGTACTTAGTTACCTACTGTAGGCATAGTTTTGAAATGAATTTGGAGAAAAACTAACAAAATGTGGGTGATAAGACTCTGTTAGTGGGACAAACCAGTCATATGTTTCTGGTTGTAGATCATCAGCTTTTGTTATTGTGGTTCTTATATGAAATTTTCTATCATCTGTATTTTCCTGAATATGAAAAGAGATGTGTTAGCATTCACTTTCAAAGTCCTGTATACTTGTCATGCTTATAGGATCAAAATTTGACAAGCAGACAAATACTTTGATGGGGTTATGTCAACAAGAAATATTTTGAGTAGTTACCAGGTTCCTTTTGCCTCTATAATCCTCATAGAAGGAATCAAATGATGCTGATGTTTTAGACTGTGCTTCTTTCAACATATCCTTGAGGCATTTGATGCTCGAAATCCCTTGCTGCTCTTTGCTGTGACACTGAACTGAATTCAATTGTTTGAGGACTTTCTTGTGATCTTCATATTCAGCAATATCCATGAATTGTTTTGACTCTTGTTCCATTGTATGCATCACATCTTGAGGATCAAGTGGATGAACCTTCTTATACTGTATTTTATTCATATCACAAAATTTAGGGGAAATAGGGGTGGGGGGGAAGAGAAGTTATTGATGCATCTATGGTTTAACCTTCCAAGTGGCCTATTGTATACTGTAAAATTTGGAAGTATATATATGAAATGAATTAGTTACGCTAGTAATAGAAATAAAAAAGAACAAAGCTTACCATATTGCAAGTTTTTAATCCTGGTTCATGTTGAACTGAAGCAGTAGATACAATGCTAGTATTTGGTACATCCCTGCCAATATTAGTAATTTATATTTAGATGATATAGTAATATTTCAAAATTCGATGTTCTACAAATGATATCTTATGTGTTTCTCACCATTAATATCTTCTATGCTTTAGATGGAACTCCTATATTAAGTATTAACTACCTAAGAGTCACGCTCTCAAAGCTAAAAGTATTCTAGTCCTGGAACTTCATGTGGTTTAAATTTTCACTGTGACTGTTTTCGTTGAAATGCTTGTGAGATCATCTCTTTGTGGTTGGATGCCTAGAAATTCATGATTGAGTTCACACGAGTCTTTGCCAGTATTACTTAGGCTACATGTCCTACATCAATAGAAACATGAATTTTGCTAAATGCCTAAATCAAATTATTTTTCATGTCCCAGAAAATAGCATTGCATTTTGTTGTAAATAAATAAATATTATTATTTACAACACATTTTGAGGTAGCTTCGAATTTCTTCCCCAAACTATAGAATTTCAAAACACATGAGGTTCCACTTATTGATTATTGTTTCAATGTGAAGTGTTAAACAGCAAGGATTAATCTTACATATAATGTGCTGATTGTTTGCTGCAATAACTGCGCCACCATGGAGTCTCTCCATAAAGCATGACCTGGTAATACACAAGACATTCCTTGTATCTCCTTGCCATATCCCTAATAGCTTCATTCATTTCATCCTCAGACATCATAGCAGATTCCAAACTTTTACTGCCATTATTTTCCTGCTTTTTGAGGATGTTTGATTGGGGAAAAAGACTTTGACAAAGTTCTGATGCAAATTCAGTCCAAACAAGTTTTGGTGAGACCAACACTGCTTGAAGAAAATGAAGTGCTGTTTGCCATTCATCTCCCTGGAGTTTCCTAACCACTGATAAGTAAAAGTAGGAGCAACACACCAAGTAACTATTTGGAATTGTAGCTGTAACCTCATCCTCATCAAGCATTGCTGGGACCTGAAGCATTTGTTCTGAATTCATTAGCCCAAAGGATCTTTCTTCTGGTTGTTGTGCTTGAATTGCAGCTTCAATGCTTTCAATACCCCAATAAAGATTGGATAGAACTGACTGCTCAGAGAATTCAAAGAATTCCTGCTTTTGAATCCTTAACTTGGAAGTGCATCTCAACTTTATAGCATTCCTGGTTTTTTCATTTTCTAAGGTGTCAAGAATGTACCTGTTGATTGAAACAAGCACCCATATATATTTGAGGTCTAACATCTAATAGTCTTGGATATGATATCAATGAGTGAGGGCTTGTTGATGATTATTAGAATTGTTGATTGTTGAAACTCACTTGGGTGTAGAAGATGAGAGAAAGTTATGCAAGTTTTCTAATATGACTGAAGGTTTAGCATCTTGTAGCAGTTTCATCCCGTGAATGTTATAGCAAGATTCCAAATATCATTGCCCCCTTTAATCTTCTATTGCTTTCAGACAAAAATAGAGATCGTTGCCTTTCCTTGAGAGGGAAAAGGTTGAAAACATTAACATTATAGTGCACCCCTTCACGGGTACCTTATCACTATGGCTTTTCTTTCTCATTACGTTTCATTGTCAACCTCACATAATGCTAAATGATCATACATATATACTCTTATTTATAAATGTAGGGTTAGCTTGTGCTCTATCATTCATGTGTTGTGCATTAGACAGAGATTACAAATATAGTACACGTCAAAATTGTGTAGAGAAAATAGAAAATCTAGTTGTCGTTTTTAGCTATAATATTTGCTCCCACTAGTAGTTCGTTTGATCACACATGCACATACTCTGTGCAAAAGGGCCCGAAAAGTAAAATATATAAAATATTCAAATCACATTTACTTATGAAGGAAAAATATCGGTGATTTTGAAGGATGTAAAGTGATGTCATTTTAAGTGAGAAAAAGAAATAGATCATAGAAAAGAGAATGTAGACAAAAAAAATAAAATAAAGATGTGGGTTTTATCTGTTTGTAAGAGGGAAATTACATAACTTGTGTCGTTTGAAATGACAAATATTCTTCTCGCTTTGAAATTGCTCTATGCCAACAAAGGTGAGCACACTTGGCTAAGAGTTTGGTTCATACCCATAAGTTCATACCCATAAGGGCATGGGTTCAAATCTCGTTAGCATGTGAAGACTTTAAATCTTCAAATAGGTTGAGGGTCTGGTCCTAGTGGAATATCGATGTCTAACTTCACTTAAATTTTTTATGTACCAAAAAAAGAAAAAAAGAAATTGCTCTCAAAAGTGTCTTTGGCTCGAGAGGGAAAAAAAATCTAATAAGTATAGCGCAATTAACAATATAGGTTGAGTAGATGAGAAAAGAGTCTAATTCAATCCTCATCAAATACATCTTAAGAGAGGGACGGGGAAGTGTAATTAAACTTTGACTCAGGATTAATTCCATAATTAATTCAAAGAGTTGAAATTCAAAAAGTTAATTAGGGTGTATATATATATAAACCCTTGTCTCTCTAATCTGAGACTTTGAAAAACAAATCCTTTGAGACAGGAGTATTCTCATATTGGTCCTGGACATTTACATGTTAGGGAAAAGTGCTTGAAAGTTAATTTATGGGGTTTGATTTTTTCATGTTGCATGAGAATTGAATTCTCATGTTGTGACTCAACTAGTGGTGGGTCTCATATTTATTAAAAAAAGAGAAGAAAAAGAAAAGCTTTGCACGTAAATCGAAAAGTCACAACTGAATTCTCATGCAACATGTGAAAATGTTTTCTTTTAATTTATATGAACAAATAAGGTTATATTTATCTTTAAAAACTTAATAAATTAAAATCAAGATATACTTTAAATTAAATAAAAAATTAATGCCGTATCTTAATCATGAGCAAACATTAGTAGTTGTTATGTCAATTTAGAACTTGGATGTATTAGGATGAGATCTCTATCCAAGCTGGAACTGCCATATCCTTGATTTTTTTACAACTGTGCGCTCGTGGCACCACAGATAGTATGTTGACCTGTCAGAACGAGTTTCATCATGAGCTGGACCATTTTGATCAATAATACCTTCTGTATTATTATTTTAATTTTTTAATCTTAAAATAATATTTTTTTGATAAACATTAAATTAAGTTGTCTAAAATAACATTAGATATATTTTTTCCTAAGTATTTATACAACTTTTTCTTTTTCTTTTTCTTTTTGCTAATATTATACCATTTATTATACTTATTTAGTTGCTGTTTGAATGAGCTATTACATTTATATAAAAAAAAGTTATGAATAATATAAGAAAAAAAATGCCTTTATGTGATGTTTGTGTTAAAAACTTAAAATGGCTTCGCTACAAGATCAGAGTCTTCAAATTGATTATTCATGGAAACGTTATTTTGATAATCGGAACTAAGATATTGTTTTCAGATAAGATTTTAGGATTACCATAGATTCAAACATCTTCTTTTGTTGGGGTGAAAAGGTATTTTATATTTGTAATTTTGTATTATATGGTGACATCTATTTCCAATACGAGGCTGTAGTGAAAAGGACTTGGCGGTTGGGAAGTGAAGAACGCCATTCATATATTGGAATAGGGAAATATTACTCTCCTTTTACATGAGGTAACTTATCTCATTTTCTCTCTTTCGCACTCCACTTTTTTCTTCTTTTTCTTTTTTCTTGTAATGGTGGGACCCACCCATTTTCTCTCTACCACATAAGATAACTATCTTATGTGGAAGGAGATTAATAAAACCCATTGGAATAACACTTTAAAGGAACTGTGTTCCATACCATATTCATACATTGACCCGGGCCCCCAAAAGTTCGTCGGTCACTAATATTATCAAACTGCAAATTTATCCAATTTTTTAAAATTTAAAACTTATACCACTAAGCACATAGATGAATTGGTAAAGAATTATTCTAATTTAATCAGTATTTTTAAATTTGAGTATCTAAACTCAACTATGTTAGTAGTGAAAGATAAGGATAAGGATAAGGAAAGATCAACCGACCATTTTTTTATGAGCTTCAGCTAACTCAATCTCTGATTTTTATTATGTTAGTTGCCTACTATTATATTATGTTACCATTGGCAATCTCTGGTACATAGTGGGAATGAAATCGAGGGAGAGATTTTGTGAAAAGCTGAGAGGAGAAGAAGAACATAAAGGGTAGTTTTGTAAAATCATCCCACATTTCCAGCAATATTTTACAATCAATTAAATATAATATCAGAAAAATTAATCCAATATTTTCAGAAATATTTTGATCTACCAAATAATTTTTGGTAACATTATCGCATTTTCCCATCATAATTCAGAAAATCGTGATTATCGGATAAAAAAAAAATTCCATTGGCAAACGCTCCTTCTCCCAATTCTGTTTTTAAAACCAAAATCAGAACTTGTTTTTAAAACTTTGTTTTGTAAAACACAAATCAAATAGACCCAAACTCTCGGAGTATTTATAGTAGTTCTGGCACACCTACTCCTTCCATTGAAGAGCTGCCACTTGGAGAAAAAAACAAAATTTCTCTCTCCTCCATGTAAGCAAGTCAAAAAATACTTATTTTTAATTGATTTGGACCACTGAATCATAGATGAACCTGGATCATATTAAATATTTTCCCAAACTCTTTAATGCTGTTTTTCAACACTCATTTTATTAAGAGATAAAATTTCATGTAAATTACACCTATAGAAAATTGGTCTCATATTAGAGGTGACAATATGAGTTGAACCCGACGGGTCAACCCGTCAACCTGTCAAAACGGGGCGGGTTGGGTTACATATTTCAATCTACCAACCCGCCTCGTCGGATTGTGGGTCAAAATGAGTTGGCGGCGAGTCGGGGCGGGTTGGCCCGTCGGGTTAAAAAGATTTTTATGTTTTTTACTATTAGGTAGTGTTTTATTTGTTTTTAAGCTTTTGTGATATCCAATTTTTTGTTATCTTAGTACTCTCTAAAAAAAATATAGAAAAAAAACTTTATTTATGACAAAGGTAATTTATGTATAGAGATAAAAACAAGTTTGTAAAGAATATCTGACTAAATATTAGCATACATTTAAACTTAAGATTAAAAAAAAACTAAGGAGAATGTGATATGAAAATAAGTAATATTATAATATTAATAAAATATAATTTATTTTTATTTTTAATTATTTTTTATTTTTTAAGCGGGTTGACTCGCCAACCCGTCATAAAACGGGCCGGCGCGGGTTGGGGTTTTCAACCCAAATTCAAGAGACAGGACGGGGCAGGGCGGGACAACCCACTTTTGGTGGGTCAATCGGGCCGACCCGTTTTGTCACCCCTATCTCATTTAAGTCCCGTGAGATTTCTTTCTCTAATAAAAAAAAAAAAGCGTTGAAAAGAAAATGTGTTAGCATTCATCTTTATTGCAAAATGTTCAACAAATTAAGTGAATTTCCAGTAATATAATTAGGATTTGAGTAGTTCGTTACAGCTCAGAATTTCTAGTATAAAAAAACGTGGATTTGACGAGTCCACTAAATACCTTTGAGAACAGCTTAATACCCGGATCAAATCCCATTAAAGCTGCTTTGCCATCCACTTTAGCATACCCTCACCCTTCCCACATCAGGTATTGTAACTAAATTAAAATAAAAAAAAAAAAAAAAAAAAGGATCAGAACTTAAACAAGAGTTTCAACTGTCAACCTAGCCACAAGCAACTAAGGATCAAGGGAACGCCAGGTAAAATAAGGTCTTAGTCTAACTAGAAACAGTCAAAACTAAACTCCAAAATGTAAACACTATGTTTAAGCATCATCCACACGCATGCCAAGCATACAAAATTCACCAACTAATGAGCCGCTTCGGTCTGAAGAGGGTATGAAAGTTTGGTAAGGTAGGAATTTAGAAAAGTAAATGTTGAAAGGATTTGAAATTAACGTGCAATGTATTTGAACTCATCCCAGGTCCAATTACTTTGTACTTTTCTTTTCATTTCTTCTCAAATCCCTCCTAACAAACAATGCCTAATGAAACTTAAGAAAGGATGGGGGGAAAGGGTAGAGGGGAATAAAATCAAAGGCCATCGTATTTCTCACATCCCAATCATTCAAAAATTTCGTATATTGAAAAGATATTTAGAAAGGGCACTACAGGTGACTGAAACTGTATGAGTAAGCATTAGCATTACTAAAATTCTGGCAGTTTTTGATCAGTGGAATGACGTGTCAACAGAGACCAAAATTTAATCACCAATCACACGCAAAGTCATACTCCTACCCGGCGAAAAGGAAAATTCACAAACCGACATCAAAAATCAAATTCAATATGATGATTACATGGCTTCCTCAACTGATGGAATCTTTCATTCACTTAAATGAAGCAATAGCATTCTTTCACAAACTTTTTTTATCACGTAATATGCAAACTTCAACTTTATATAAGTTGTTACCGTCAAGTATTTTACCAAAGTCGGTTCATGGGCTTGTATTCAAGGGCCTCACTACTCATACTTATGACTTGCGTAATTATTTGCTGCCATGTTCTGCATCATAGTAATCGTGTACAACAAAAAGATAATCCCATCCGAATATTCCTCCAACAATAAGAAACACATTTTTAAGCATATTTACCAAAAACTTCTCAGAGCAAGATCAGCACGGTAGTTGACTGGCAGCTACTCAGAATACAGCTTGTAACAAGAGCTACTCCTACAGATGTACCAGATATCCTGAAGAATAGAATGTGCACAAAAGCTCAGCACCTGATACAAGACTTCCTCAAGTCAAGTAAAAAATAATCCAATTAGTCACTTTTGCTACACACTGGCATATGACTACATCAATGCATGCCAAAAGAGAGAAAATAGGAAAGGTAACATAATTCTAAATTCAAATGCTTAAATACAAGGGAAGATTAGAAAAAGAACTGAGAAAAAGTGCAGCACAAAGTGCTAAAAAAATACAAGTGATACTTAAACATGCATCAAAAACTCTCTTCTAAATACATATTTTTATTTTTATTTTAAAAAGGATTCTTATTTAATCTTTTTACTTTTGTTGAGTGGGGACAGGGTTGAGATTTCGCAATTGGCATGGTAAGTAAAGGAACCATAAATAAATCTTTAAAGAAAGCACAAGACAATTACAGATTAGACTTGGAATGACAACTTAACAAACTTGGGGAGAAAATAAGATTAAGGAAAGCTCAAACGGAAAGGGCAAAACATGGATCATACAATTTTGCAGAAAGGGAAAAGGGGATGATGTGGTTTTAGGGTTTTTGGTATCAGTGATTAGGGGAGAAGGGAAAGGATGCAACCTACGAATTTGAACTGGACTGTGGGGATCCATAAATTTGCAAAGCGTGCTGCCATGGATGGAAGAATTTTGTCTTCCAGTAGCAGCCACTCTCTTATTCCTATTTAACCCTTTAGTGTTATCATAAATATCATCACTATTTAAACATATATCAACATATTAACAGAAGTACCAAACTGTAAAGGAGAATTAATGTCAAATAATAAATTATCAATTTTATTCGTTTATCTAATAAAAAATGTTTGAACCACTTTATTTTGCATAGTATCAAACCAAACAAGCCTGAAAGAAGTATCAAAACTATTCCCTTTTCTTTTCATTTCCATTTCAGTACTTCCTTTCTTTTCCGTTCTACTTGACACCAAATAAAGCATTACTAAAGAGTGAGGAAACAGAAGGAAAGTAAAGACATTTTGAGAGAAAATATGCATTAGATACAACCACTAACATCTATATACCAATCTAGGTTACTAGTGTGCTACAACTTGTAAAAACCTAGCTCAATAAGCATATTAACATAAGACAAAAAAACAGTAAGAGTCCAAATATTCTGACACTATTGTCAAGGTCTAAACCTGAAGCTTACTAAGCTCACAGCTTGTAACCAAAAAAACACATGTTGATATAACGGGTGCAATAAACCATGTAGCTGGAGAGTTAACACAGCAAAATGAAGCAATTCAAGCAATACTGGAGAGGCAACACAGCAAAATGATGGCTGTAATGATGCCCAACAAGAAGAGCAATAGATGGCTGAAATGATGCATAGCCAAATGAGTAGCAGACTGGTAGAATGATAAAAATCAAAGCTGGCTTGAATTGGGTTGAAACAACTCAAATCAACTTGATAACAGCTTCCAGCTAGAAGAGAATACAACAAACAACCAAATGAGGCCAAGAACACAGCAAAGATGTATAACTAGGAACGAAACAGCCCTAATAAGCCATACAGCAGCCAAACAGACAAAAACAGCCAAACAAAGACAAGAGAAGAGAACGCACGTACAAACAAGGCCAAACAGAAAAAAGGAACAAAGCCAAACAGGGCAATTGTGGTGGAGACCAAGGTTGTTGAATCGCAATTCGTATCGTGAATCGTTCGGCTGTTTTTTAGTATCGTGAATCGTGAATCGTATCGAATCGTAAGATTCAGAAACAACTAAAAAATAACTAAAAAATGTATAATATAATATAAATCCAAATTAAAAAAAAACCCAAATACCAATATACCCATTACCCAAAGTTGACAAGACACCACTAAAGCTTAGATTTTTAATATTCTAAAAAGCTTCTTCTGAGAGACATGTATTACACATTTACTGATTTACATGACTCATTACCATACCCACAGCCACAACACGACAGCTGCCCAGAGATATTTTGTAATATTTTAATATATTTGAAAGACCGAAGAGTTTTAAAAGCTGAAATAGTGAAAAGCTGAAATTCTTATAGATGAGAAGCTGAAATAGTGCAGACCGAAGAGTTTTAAAAGAATATCGTACTCTACTCTCCGTTTTCAGCCTTCGGCCTTCAACTCTCTGGCTCTGCAACGAGGAGTCTCCAACTGCGCTTCTTCTCCGATTTCAACTCTCTGCAACGAGGAGTCTCCCACCTTCAAGAACCTTCAAAGCCTCTTCTTGATCTTCTATATAAAAACTCTCATCCTCTCTGTTTTTTGTTTTGTTTTCCTTTTTGTTCTTTCTCAGTTTTGTTGTTTGTTATTATATGAGATTCAAATGGGATTTTAAATCCCAAATTTTTCTGAAGCAAAACAACTCTTCAGATTACGTTTTTAATCTTTTCAACTTCAGCGACCGTTGTTTTTTTTTTTTTTAAACCTGAATCGCAAATTTGTAGCGATTCACGATTCGCAACTGGATCGTACGATTTAAACGATTCTTTGTTCCGATTCTGACCATAAACGATTCAGGGATGCGATTGGGATCGTTTTTCTGGTGTATCGTATCGTATCGCACGATACGTATCGCGTATCGTGCGATACTAACAACCTTGGTGGAGACACAAGCAAGCAGTGGGATATGGGATGGCGTGGCTGAAACTGGAAACTGAGGCTAGGGACTAGCCCCAAACATTGAGGTAAGACGTTTGTTGATAGCCCGTGAAGAGAGAAGTTAATGCTCCTCCATATGCCAGAGCCATAAGGCCACCAGAACATGGGAGGCCCATGGCTGAGATTTTTCTGCTGAGAATTCTTTGCTGACAGATTGCTACCCTTTGATTCCATTGATGGAGCCAATGTGTTGATTGGAGACCAACCAGGAAGGTGGAGAACCAGAGATGGAAGCCATGCGGAGAGGAAGAACATGCTGGAAGATTGAAAGTGTGAAAAAGTGACTAATGTTGTGCAAAGCCAACAAAAAGGAGAGACATCAGACATGGACACATGGGACAAAGGCTCTAGGTTTCTGGGAACCTGATAGCAGAAAAGGAACAGGATTAGCTCATGAAGGATGGTGTTGCTTTGACACAATGTTGAAACAAAGTATGTTTGAAAGAACTTGTGTGTATAATGTATTAGATACAAACCAATAACACCAATTTATGCTTCTATTCTAGGTCAAGTGTGAGTATAGTACAACCAAACCTGGGAAATTGAACTACTAACATAAGACCCCTAAAAACACTAATGGTATGTTCGGACAGAGGAGTTAGGAGGGGAAGGGTGGGGAGGGATGATTTTCATTCCTACATTCAGAGAATTATAAAATGCTCATAAAAATGAATAAGGAATGATTGGAAGGTTACATAATAATCTCTAATTTCATTACTCCCATTTTAAAAAATCCTCAAATAAGCATAATGTCTCCTCTCCCTTCCCCACCTAACTCCTCCATCCAAACATACCAGAAGAGTTCCTAATATTCTAACAGAAAGCAAACTAGAGGAGCAAGACATTAATCTTGTTATCTAATTTTTGAATAAACAAACTAGACCCAAATGAAGAACATACCATAGTTGGCTAGTTGCAGACATATATGTGAACATAAAATCTCATTTGAACAATGCACCTTAACAAAATCTGAACTTCACTCTTTAGAGCTAAATTTTATGACCACTTTCACTGGGATAACCTAATTAGAGTTTTGTCATGTCAACAAGTAAAAAAAAGTCCATCACATCCCCAGAATCAGTGTAAAACATACCTGGGAAGCATGGAACAGGAAGCACCGAGGCAAACTCTCTTATCTTATCCTTAGAAAACTTCCCTCACACTGCTAATTAGTTTTTCAAGCAGTAATCTAACATGAGAGAAAGGTTGTATGAAAACAGCTTTAAGTTCAACCTAATAATAATAACTTAAAAAGCAGTGAAAATAAAAGGAGACGTATTTCATTCAATTAAAAAAACTAAATCAAATCCAACAGCAGAAAACTGCTTGAACGATACATATCCTTCAGCGAATAAAGAGAACAGGCAAGAGTTACCTTCAGGCTACTCCAAAATTTTGAAGCTTTTCACAGTGAGGAGTAGGCAGATTCCTATTCCAACTTCGTCTCTGAATCTCTACTTGACAATAGCGACGAAGCATATTCTTATAATCCTTTATGACATTGTCCTCAACAGCTGCACGAGCAGAACTTCCCTGCGGATAGTTAGCATCAAACGCGTGAGATTTAACGAAAAACTGAACCCCATAGTCCTCAGTTGTCTTTGGAATCTGGTAAGTGTAATTCTTTTGCAAAGAGTAATCAGGTTCAGAAAAGGGCAAGTAAGCAAGCAGAATAATAATCAAGAAGGGCAAAAGTTGAACCAGCAGCATAATATTATGCCCTCCTCCACCACCACCATGAAACTCTTGCCTCTGGTGACTACTACCCATCCCTCTAGCCCTATAAACATTAGTTCTACCAAAAACTTCCGATTGACCAAAGAATGCCCTAAATATCTCATCAGGATCAAACTCATCATCAAAAAAATCACGTGCAGTTGTTGTTGTCCTTCTCCTTCTGCGCCTAACATTGTATTGCTGGTTGTATTCAAATTCATCAACTAGTCCTGTCTGATCATACTGCCTCCTCGAACCATCATCACTCAAACACTTGAAAGCCTTTGACACCTTCTTAAACGCCTCTTCGGAACCTGGGGCCTTGTTCTTATCAGGATGAACCTTCAACGAAAGTTTCCTATACGCCTTCCTAATCTCTTCAACGGAACAACTCTTCTCCAATCCCAGAATGGCATAGTAATCGCTCTTACCCTTAATCTCCCTAATTAACTGAACATTCTCCTCCGTGTAACTCCTCTCCCCATTCAAACCCTCCTCACTTCTCGTCGGACCGTTCGACGTCTTGGCTCCGCCTACGCCGCCGCCGGCTGCGGCGGAGGAAGACGCGGAGGATTGAGAATCAAGGCGTTCACACATGTTCAGCAACGCATCGACCGGCAAATCGTGGTTTAGGCGCTGAGCGATTTTGATGAATTTGAGCGCGCGGTCTTTGTTCCCCGATGCAATCGCCTCCTCGGCGATGCGAACGCACCTCAATGCTTCGTCCTTGTTACCCTCCATAGCACAAAAAACGACGCGAAAAACCCTAACTCAAAATCTGACTCCAGCAGCACATGATAAATTTGACTGAACCTCAGAACTGAGAAACCTAATCAGAACACACACACACACACACAAAAAGGGAGAATGAATAGAAGAATTGCTATGCTATATCTATGAATTTATTAGAAGGAATGAAATTAGGGCAGAAGATGATGATGATTATCACCAAGAGCTCTCGTCTACTAAATTTCAATTCCAGAACAGTGTGTTCGGTGTAGAAAAATGCTCTTGCTCCTTAATAAAGCCTTTGAAATTAATTTTTATTTTCTTTGAATAAAAAAATATTTTCGGCCTATTTTACTACTGGAATGAACTTATATTTATAATTTACACCTCCAACTAAATATCTCTTTTAAGTGTGGTGGCTCACTTGGAATAAATCTTTGTTACGTGCATTCCACCAACAAAAATATTACATGTCAACTAATTTTATATTTTTTCTCACTTGGAATAAATATTTATTACATGTGTATTGCTCTCATTGATGAGATATACTGAATCTTGGTAGAGCAGTAGTACCAAAGATTTATTCTCTCAGTTGGTAACACGGGGATTGAGTGGTGGGAGAGGATTTTGGTTCGAATCCTACCAACACTATCTGGGGAGGGGCATACCTACCGTAATCTTTGGACTCGCACCCGAACTCTGGATTAGTCTCATGGGCAGCTCAAAGAGTCGAACCCGTAAGAATACCGGAGGTTCTGATTCGTCTCAAAGAGGTAATTAGGATCAGTTAAAAAAAGAATATGTGCATGACCTCGATAATAATGATTATTGTTATTGTTATCCTAAAAAATCTAGGAGAAACTGTAATTTACTCTCGTGAGATGTATAAGTTTTACAAATAATTTTGTTAACACTAAACTTCTTAACATTTGATTATCGTTCGAGATGTGAAGTTTTCTGTTGAAGCAAATAAACGATGAAGCATCGGTTTGGTACTTTGGTTTGGTCACACAACCATAGCTAATAATTTATTTATTTTGAAGTTTTTACTGATTGTGGATATGATTATGGGGCTATCGTGTTACACAATATAACTTCGTGGTACCCGTGTCACTTGCTGAAATGAGTTAGGGACTATTAATTAATGGCCGAGTGTTTCTTTGTGTATGGGTTGGTTTTCTGGTTGTGTTGCTTGATTTTGTCAGTGTAAGGGTTATTTGTGGGTATATATATTTTGAGTTAGCCTTGTATTGATTACCCCATTTAAATGTGGTTTGATGTGGGCACCCTGTATTGACCATAGAGTCAGCTAATCCTGATGTAGCTTGGAGAGGAAAAGAAAAGGCATCATCTCAAAGTTGCAAATGGACACAAAAAAAGAAATTCAGTGATGGAAAGGCTGTGATTATATTGTATAAATTCATGATGGCGATAGGTGGCTTCTGTGTAATTTTCTGTTAAACTCAAGCAAAGTTGTAAAAACTAAATGTGATTTTGCTTAAAAGGATATTTTTGGGGTTGATCCATGTATGTTTTTTGAGAGCAAGTGTTTCGTGAAGTTGAGTGTAATTTTTACTTTTTAGAATGCTTGATTTATTTGGAAACCAATTGTATTTGAGTAGGAAAAAGATTGTGAATGAGTCCAATTGATGTTTATTTATGCAATTCTTATCCTGGTTATTGGTTTATTCTTGATCCTATTATATGCTTGTGTGACTGTTTGTGGCTAATTGGTTTGTAATGGCTAAATCCTGTTCTAGTGTTGAGTTGTTTAAGAACTTTGTTTTTGTGCTGATTGGTTTGGTTTTGGTGTTGGTTTATGATTGGTCTACGCATGGTTTATGTTGCAGGTTTAGTGGATTCACAAGTTAAATGTAGGGTGTGTTGGTTTAATGGATTCATACATTACCTATTACACATTCTGCCATAGTTCTTGTGGTTTATTAGTTCGGTTTATGGATTGATTTTGTGTAAATGATGAATTGTTTTAAGTTCCTGTTTAGTGTGAATCATGATGGACTGATGAATTTGTTAACGGTTTGCAATTTTGGCCTGCAGTTTCGTTGTAAATCATGATTGCTCTTTGGTTTTGCAAGTTAAATGCAGCACTGGAACCATGAACCAGTGAATGAGCCACGCTTGCAACAAATTAGTACTTAATTTTCTAGGTTTATCCTCGCGAATGTGAGCACCAAAAATGACTAACTTGCGCCTAAATTAACTGGTTTAGTAAGGCTCCGATTGAATTAACAGAAACGTTTTCATCCTTAACCAAATGTCGAGGAGATTTAGTGTTAACAAAATCTTTTAGGGATTTATTTATTCAAGGTAAAGTGTATAAATAAAAATCAGTTCTCGTCAAGTTGTCATTATTTTTACATCAACGTGCAATGAACAAGGAGCCCCATACTTGTCTTCAAAGACCCGTCTTTCAGGCTCCAATGGCGCACCCTAAGGGACGGAAATCTAAAATTATAAATACATTTTGATGTTAGTTTTCTTCATCAGATTCGAAAGAATGTATTTTCCTCACAGATTGTATGACATCAATGCTCTTAAGATGTCTAGAATTGCTTACACCAGAACGAGACTTGACTTTAGGAACTTTCAAAGAACTAAGTGGGGGCGTCCCAGTCCCCTTGTTGATTTCCCTGAGCACAGAACGAACTGTTGCTGCAGCTGCCGCATCTGCCATTGCTGATGCGACTTTTGAACCACTTGGAAATTTGTTGTATGTCTTGGTTAGATTCTTAGAAACATCAGTTGATTGATTAGCACCTGATTTTGACTTGGCTACAACCTCAGCAACTACTGCTTTAGCTTTTGCTGCTTCGTATTTATGCATGTCATAGATAAGCTCTCTCTGCAGCTGCTTATCAGCAACCAATATTTCATCGATCTCATTCTTGTAGTCCTTGAGAAGGACCCGGAGGCACTCCATGAGAGAGCCTATGAGGGGACTATTCTTGGTTTCCAATAGACGTTTTAACTCTATGAAGATTGGGACTGTGTTTTGGATAAGTCCCTTCTTGATCGCCTGGGTTATTGCCTTTCCTCTAGCTGCAGATCCATTTTCTCCCCCTTCTTCTTCTATGTCTGCAGACTCGGATGACGATGCACGAGTGGATGTGATGCGTATCTCTTTACAGCCAAGAATTTGAAAAGCATCCTGATCCCACAATTAATGTTATCATTTGAACATAAATTGAATGAAATAAGACAATAGTAAAGGCATTGCTTTATCCCTTGCCCTCCATATTCAGATATGCTTGCATTGTGAATTGCATATATATATATATATATATGGAATATGGGCAACTGAGTGAGCATTGCTGGTACAGATTAATACCTGCAGAACAGACTGTCCAGTTGCATCTTCTATATTGAGCATACCATCAGAAGCTGCAGCTAAAATTTCTGCACATAACTTGGCAAAGGTTGCTAGAAGATGCTCAGGAGCCATTTGTTTTAGCAAAGAAACATAAATGTGCATTCTTTTAGACCTTGACGTTTCATCAGTACCCCTGCAAAGAACAATGCAGACTTGATATAAGCACAATATCTCAACTGAATAGCTGTCATACCAATTGCTAATTTTGTACCACTTTACCTGATGGAAAAAAGTTGGCTTTCCATTCGTGACCCATGGGACTCACGATGTCCATTATGGGCATGGCAGTCATTCAGAACAAAAACAGCCTCAACAAAACTATTATATGCTAGAAGAGGTGCCTTGACTGTTGGCCAAAAGACAATAGTCAAAGTCCAACAACAAAAATATTATTCAATTTATATAACTGCAAGTGTTTTCTATCAAAGTAAAGCTTCAAACCTTTCAAAATATTTCCGAAGAGAAAATCAGCTAAATGTCTAATCATCTCTGATTCGTCAACAAGTGACAAAAGGAACCGAAGAAATAGCACTCCTCTCCACTTGACGTAGTCCCTCTAGATAAAATAAAATTATGATTTAGTAAATCAGCCACTGCCCCCCCCCCCCCCCCCCCAACACCAAAACCTCCTCCTCCTTTTAAGAGAGATATTTGAGAACGTGCTGTGAAACAGGTGAGTCATAGAAGCAAAGAAAAAAAAAATACCTGTAACAATCGGGAGAGCAATATGAACGTTTGCCTTCTCACAAGTTCACAAGGATCTAAGAGACACCTCGTGATCTTTGTTATGTAACTGAAATTCCATGAAAAAAGAAGTTAGAATAGCAAAGAGAATATTAACTTCTTCAATTTAGTTATTCCGCATAATGTGAATAATGTACTTCTCCCCCAACACAAAGCAAAAGTTACTCCTCTGTCCATACAGGCCACTACTTCTTTATCGATTTGTATAAGACTAGATTATTTTCTTTACATTATTATACTTTTCAAATTCAAATTCACTACAATGCAGTACCTCTTACAAGGCTTACCAATCAACAAGAGCAGTGTACCGAACACAAAAATCTGCCATCGTGACCACAATGTTGTTGCGAAGAGCAGCAGATTCACTCTTTTCAAGCTCCTGCAAATGTATTTCAAAACAGAATATATTTCAGTTAGGAAGTAAGACCACATATTACAGCTCATGAGGCATAAACAGTCAAAGTCAAAGGACCAACCTGTACAAATAGTGGGATATAATTCTTTGCAAGCTTCCCATCAGCGAGGCAAAGCTTGCCCATGGCCAGCCACCCTTGAATATAAAAAGAAGGAGCTTGTTGTAGTAGAGAGGTTGCAGGGCCGGGTAGTTTATTTAATTTGGGACCAGAGTTCCCGGAAGTGATGATAGTATGCAGTAATGGAACTACAGTGCTCATATCAGCAGATGGGCAGACAATAACTAAAGACCCAATTGTATAAATTGCTATAACTGCTTTCGACAATGACTTGGACATTTCTACTGCTTTCCTTCCTTTTCTAGTCCCACTTGTAGGTGGAGTGAAGAAGCTTCTTTCTGTATTTTGAGGTGAATTCTCCGAAATGAACTTTTCTATTATTTTAGAACCTCTGGAGAGGACTTGGTGTACCCATCTCAAGACTAATGCTTCGGCTTCCGGGAGATTTGAAGCTTTCCGCTTGCACAATGTTTTAAGTGCTTTTAAATGAGCATCAACCTATCGACCAAAAGTAGCCATTCATTACAGTACATTTTTTAAGTCTTATGTATAATGTCCTTGGCTACTGTTGTTTTGTTCTATACTTCCCAGTTTAACTTAGCCTTCTTGATTTCTGTGCAGATTTGATGCCTGTTGATCTTTTATCTTGATTACCTATTTACATTTTTAAAAACATCAATGGTTCTATTAACTATCCATAACAAATCTAATAATACCAATTATTATTATTAAGTATAGCCTGCTAGGCCGATTGCTTAAGAAACTAAGATGATCATAGAACTAATATTTCTCCGCAGCCAATCGACTTTCACCCCTACCTTCACAAGTAGGGGAGCCTTGTTGTAGAGGGGGGGGGGGGTTTTTTTTTTTTTGTGTGTGTGTGTGGGGGGGGGGGGGGGGTAAGATGAATGTTTAACTGTTTAAGCATTAGATGGAGCAAAATGTCCGACATGAAAATAGAACTTAAAGAATAAAATTTACAGTTTAAAAGACCATATAGAAATGTTAATTTTAGGGCAACCTTTAGCTCAGTCTATAAGAAATTGGGATGATATACAGATCTGATACCTCAATATTTCATGTGTTAAGAAATTACAAAACATTACCAAAAAGATGATAATCAAGACAAAGAAGCAACCCAGGAAAATACATTATGAACTTCTGAGTCTGGTAGAAGTAGAACAAGCAAAATCATATGTTTATGATACGATACCATCCTTAAGGGTATTTAGGTAGGTAAAGCAATTTGGATGAATCACCAAATATGGGTTAAGTGTGACTGAAACAGAATACGGTTAGGAAGAAATTGAGGGAAAAGCTAAATGAGTAGTGGAGGGCTGGGAGAGTGGGAATCATCTTGGATATTTCTTGGACTTGGGAGAGAGTAGAGCCTCTCCAATTGTTCTACACTATCCTTTTCTTTTCCTGTTTCGCTGGTAATTTTCTGCCATTGTTGTTCTACCTGATATTCCTTGTATCATTCCTTGTACTGTTTATATGCTTCATTTCCTTGTATTTCTCAGACTAATATCAGTTATACAAGCCTCTATTTTCATTCAAGTATCCATGTCAGTTCTGTTTTCTGTTGTTGTTGGTTGGGTTCTTAACAATTTAACAATGGTATTATGGTAGAATATCACACATTAACACCATCCAGATAGACATTCAAGAATGACAAAAGAAGCATTAGTGTTAAGAGTCAGTAATGAATTCAATAATAACGTGTAATAATTACCTCTGTTGAATGCATGTTGAATTCTCCAACCCGTTTGAGCAAGTTATGAGCCAAATCAGCTGCAGGTTCAGGAGGCAGCTCCACAGAAACATTAGAGATTGTTTGTAAGAGGAAAACTCGGTCACTAGCCCAGGCAACAGAATTGCATTCTATGCTTTCTTCCTCTTCAGATGCATTTTTTTGTAAAAATGGGCTTTTAAACTCACCTTCCACTTCATGTTTGTCAAGAAGCTGCCAATGATGATGAAGAAACTCCCAGTCCACTGCTTTTGAAAGGAATGCTGACACCTCTGATAAAAGAAACCAAGCACCCGGTGGGGCAGTCCACTTTTCTATTGGCATGGAATGGTTCAGCCAGATAGACTCAGACACCCTGATTATATTCTGAAGCGCGGTAACAATTTTGTGATTCATCCGTTTCTTTTTGCCCAGGTTTGTGCAAATTTTCCTCACCCAAGGGCTCACCTCCCCATTGCAAATCTCTCTCAAAAGATACAGAATTCCTTTGGGAAAAAGCATCTCCATCTCTTTTTCTAAATCCTTTCCTTTCATATTTCTATTTGATATAGATTCCCTACACGAGGAGGTAGCAGATGCAGCCCTGGATATCCGGTCCAAAACAAGTTCTTGAAACATGTTCTCACATTCTTCTTGGATGCTGGATTCATTGTCAGTTATTAGACGAGGAACTGAATGTAGCCACTCAGTTATTACTGTTTCAGCAGAGAATGTTCTGAAAGCCTACATATGATAAGTAAATTTCATAAATTACTTATCAGTATTAGTTAAAAGGAACCAAGAAAAAAAAAGGACTTTTTAGGGGAAACGTGAGATTCATAACATTCCTAGATTTAGAAAGGTTTTAGAAATGATTTTTTTAACAGACCAAATTCCTCAAATCATCTCTGGAAGAATTTGATAAACCCAAACACCTACCAATTCAACATTTCAAAGCATTATTTTAATGCAATAAGACATTATATAACATTACAAACTTCGGGCAGAAAAATATAGTCTGAGTATTTATTGTTAATCATATTGAACAAATTAATCAAAGTGGAATGATATCAAATGTTATATGCTCTCCCAATGGATTCCATATATGGCAATGCAAAATAAAAAATGTGACTCATTTGTGTCTACTGAACCCAAAGGCACAACCAGTTAGCAAAGAAGGCAGCATATAATAGCTGCCCGACAGAACAACAATGTGCAGAAGAAAGTTTCCTCCATTATAGTCTTTCTATTCAAATCCATTTCCAGGGAACTAGATGCCAACAATGACACAATAAACCCAAACAAACTCTACAATTCTCATGACAAAAGATTCTCATGTAGCTTCTCATGTAAAAAGAAGCCATTACATCATCATGACTTAAATTTTCATTCTAAGTTGCTAAATTTTGCCTCAGTTTGCTGGCTCTATCACCAACATAGTCAACATCAACATCACTCTTATCTCAAATTAGTTGGGGTCAGCATAATCAAATGGATTCATCTCATATAAACAATTCTCTTTTACAACCAACTCACTACACGTGACGTAACCCTCATTCATCATCCTGGCTTAGGACAAGATATGTAAACATACATAGGCAGAGTTTACCACTAACATAGTACAGCCAAAAAAAAGTTATAAAAAGTAAATAAACTACCTGCGAAAGAGCTGCAACTGCTGCTTTCCGCATGCTAATAAGTGGATCAGAACAAGCCATGCCCATTGTCTTGAGCACCACCTCATCAATTGCACCCCCAAGAAGAGCAGTCAAGTTAGTAACCAAAAGAAGAGCAGCCTTCCTCACAGCTGCCTTATCATCCATACACCTTCTCCTCAGCATATCATTTATTCCACCTTCAACATTTCCACCATTACTAACCTCACCAAACCCCAAAAACTCTTTCAAAACCAAACTAGCCTTAGCATCCCTTGAGAGGAACCCCACCAGCTGAGCCAAGTTCGACAAAGCCCGAGCTCGAACCGCAGCACTCACATCAGAACAACGCTTCACCAATACCTCCAAGCACCATTTTCCCCACGGCTCATTCACCTCACTCTCTGAATCCACACCCAACGGATCCTTCAAGGACATCACCAAATTCAAAATAAGATCAACAGCTAAAAGCCTAAGGTTCGGTTTCCCTTGAGCCATCATCACCACATACTTGACAAACCCAACCTGGTCCTCGAACCCCATAACCCGAACCACTTCCATTATGGAGTCCACAGCCAAGGCTCTAGGCTCGGACCTCTCCGGTGCCTTCTTCACCAAATACCTCGGAAAATTAACCAGGGCTTTCTTCACCCCATCGCACTCACGTGCCAGGCTCGTGACGAAGCCAAGAGCGAAGGCCCTGGCTTGCGATTTCGGCATGAGAACAATGGAAGACAACGACTTCAACACCTCAGCAGCAGTATCAGAAGGTTCTCCGTGCTCTGGCCTCAGAACCTCCCTAAGCACCCGCGAACACAGGTTCACCAATTTGCTATACTGAACCGTGTTTCCACCAATTTCGAGAGCCAAAACCGGAATCTCTGAAATGGTTTGAACAAGAGATTTAAGACTCTCGGGGAAACGGTCCAGGTGAATCAAACCCATGACCTGCACTAGCTTCTCCAACAGAGGAAGGAAAACCCTAAAATCAAGTTGGGTGTTTGCAGAGTCGTCGTTTTGGGCGTTGTTCCTGCGTTTCCTTTTCCGGTTTTGGGAATCGTCGGTTGGGGACTGTGAGGGGCGGTTTTTGAAGGAGCGGCGAAGGGAGCGGAGGAAGGAGAGGAAGGAGAGTGGGGTGAAGAGGGTGAAAACGGGGGCGTTTTGGGAGAGGAGTAAAGAAAGGAAGACGTTGGAAGCGAGGAGAGAGTGTGGGGTTGGGGATGAGTCCATAGCGGAGGCAATGGGAGGGATGAGGTTCTTGGAGTAGAGAATGTCGAAGGTTTCTGAATCATAATCATTGAGGAGAAGTTGGAGATCCGATAGGGTTTGTTCGGAGATAGGTGGTGGCTCTGGGTTGCCACGGTGGTCCTCCACCTCAGCAACTATGCGAGATATGGTGTCTTCCATTGATGTCTCTTCTTCAAAGTAACACACTCTCTTACCCTCTCTTTTGAATTCTCACATTCCCTCCCTCACATATGATTTGGTGTCAATAGGAGTTTGCACTTGAGTGTTCAAGTTTTATCAATATTGCAGTTAAATCCTCGGTCGTCGGTCAATTACAAATGCATTATTGTGTCGTTTACCAGCCATTTATCTGAAGCAGCTAAAGTCTGCTACTTTTACTCTATACTTTTCATGCCATAGCAGTATATTTGATGATTTGATGTCTTTGTGATGAAAATGATGCATGAGTTGAGTATAATACTTTCATTTCCGGGAATGAATCTCTTGTGCTAAAATTTTTGTATTTATTTTGCATTAATTAGGTGGAATCTGATTATTATAAATGAAGAAAGATATAGACACAAAAATTTCACATAATCAAATCATATAAAATTTTAATATAAGAGAATCTATTCTCTTTATTTCCATCCTAAAAAGCTCATAATGTTGAGAAGGAGAAATCAGTGAATTTCTTCCATTTTCATTGTTTTACTAGTGTTTCTAGGGGAATTTTGGTTGTCCAATTTTCTGTGTATATTGCATGCCATTGTTCTTGAATTATTAATTTTTGTCAAACCTACTTATGATTATTGGCCTTTTTATTATGCCATAATTTTGAAGGGAACAAATGGTTATGTGTTGGTAACGTTACAAAACGTTATGATCATTATTTTTAAATTTTTCAAAATTGAATATTTTATTCTGATATCATAAAGTGTAATAAGTGATGTTTTATTCCTTTGTAATACTAATGCAGCGCGAACTACAAAACTAAGAGCTCTTTTGGATTGCATTAAAAAAAATATTTTTTATCCCTTATTTATTTTAGAAGTACTTTTAACAAAAGTTAAAATTATTTAAATTTTAAAATATTTCATTTTTGATAAAAAAATATTTGACTTTTGACTTCTGCTTTTCTTAGCTTCTAAAAAAATAAATTTTTGACTTTTTTTATGACTTCTATTTTTTTTTTTTAAACAAGCATCCAAACAGACTTTCTCTAAGAAGTGCTTTTTTATTCTAAAAAAATTGTTTTTGGAGAAAAAAAAATCCAAATTGACCCTAAATGAAGAACCCAACTTAACCGAGGTAGTCTTTACCCAATATTTATACCACACATAAATTTAGACACATATCACATATTATGAAGACCAAAAAAAAAAGTAAAAAGCTTCACCCACACACACATATATATATATATATAGGTTTTACTTCTCTTATGTCGTAAGAAAAAAATTATCTTATGTTATGAGACAAATAAAGTGGAGTCCATCAATTTTTTTAAATAAAAAGTCACATATTTTTATGTGAGTATAACATGAAAGTATAATTTTCATATATATATATATATATATATATATATATATATATAACCATGTTAATTTATTTATTAGAAGGTTGGTTTCTACTGCCGATTATTTGTTTGTTCATAAAAACAAAGGACATGTTATAGATAGCTATAACAAATCAACCATCCACCTTTAAAGTTCTCACCTTCAATTTTAGAAGGTTGATTTTTACTATCCTGTTATTGGTTTGTTCATAAAAACAAAGGACCCATTACAACTATATCAAGTCCACCATTTACGTTTGATATTCTGACCTATTCAATTTTACTTAGTTAATTGATCTATATGGGGTTAATTCAAGTTGCTTATTCTTAAGTGAGGGTTAAGTAATATTTTCTTTGATTTAAAAATTCACAGGTTCGATAGTTGTATGATAGTGAACTAAAGGAAATTCCAGAGAGACTTCCGAGGAGGAAATTGATCTTCTTAAACAAAGCATTGAGAGAGTTAAGTCTCGGGAGCGTAGCTACAGAAAATTCCACCCGAAATGGAATATCATACAGAGACACACTGTTTTAGCTAAATGGGGGAGGTACGACAACGAGGAATAAGATAGATTATTTTGAGAAGTTGAGAATTGACGAAGAGGAGGAAGATGTGGAAATGGAGTTGAGTGGAGAAGGCGTCCATTCTGATGAGCCTTTCTGCCCAACGTACTAATTTAAAAAGAACCTTCATAAGGAGAGTTGCAAACTGTGGAGGCAAGCAGTGATAGTTAAGCTACTGGGGAAACGGGTTGGGGTGAAATTTCTTCTGAATAAGCTCCTCAAGATGTGGAACCTATCTGGTACCCATAAGTTTATCGATCAAGAGAATGACTATTTCTTGTTTAGGTTCTCAGAGGTCAAAGATTACAACTTTGTCCTTCAAGAATGCCCATGGATAGTGGCTGACCACTACGTTGTGGTGCAGCGCTGGAGGCCACTATGTAATCCTCTAGATGATAACATGGAGAAGTTGTCGATAAGGATACGTATTCCAGGCCTTGCAATAGAATTTTATACGACACACCATCTATGGAATATAGGGAACCTGTTTAGACGAACATTGAAAATTGACAGGAACTCTATTCGCAAAGGTGATTTGGGTGAGGGAGAAGTCATTGATCGGGCTAAATTTGCTCATATATGTATTGAAGTTGATTTGAGCAAAGCTTTCCTTTGAAAGTTCAGAATAGGTAGCCAAATTTTCCTAGTTGGCTACGAGGGGTGTCATCTCATTAGGGGAATAGAGATGAAGCCAGAAGTATAGCATGATAATAAACAAGTGGAACATGTACAAATGCAAATACCACTTGTAGAAGAACAAAATCAAGAATTGGTTAACTCACCTAATTGGGGTCGTCAAGAAATTATTGATCCACCACACTTGAATCATCCCGTAGATGTATAACAACAAGTGTATCAAAGTCGTAGTGGGAGATTAATTCGTAAACCCGTACGATATCTCTTGTTGGATGAATCATATCAGAATGTTACCATTGAAAAAGATGATGATCCCACTAGTTACAACGAGGTACTAGAAGATGTTGATGCTCAGGAGTAGCTTGGGGCTATGAATCGTGAGATGGAATCTATGTATTCCAACTCAATTTGGTCTCTTGTAGAAGCACCTAAAGGGGTAAAAGCCATTGGGTGTAAATAAATCTACAAGAGAAAGAAAGGATCGGACGGGAAGGTTGAAACCTTCAAAGCTAGATTGGTGGTGAAAGGGTACACCCAAATAGAAGGTGTAGACTATGAAGAAACCTTTTCATCGGCTGCCATGCTCAAGTCCGACCGGATTCTCTTAGCTGTTGCAACAAGTCTCAATTATGAAATTTGGCAAATGGATGTCAAAACTGCTTTTCTAAATGGAAATTTGGAAGAGGATATCTATATGCAGCAACCAAAAAAGTTCATAGCCAAAGGGAAGGAACACGTGGTGTGCAAGTTACAAAGGTCTATCTATGGACTCAATGGACTCAAGCAAGTATTTAGGTCATAGAACATTAGGTTTGATTAAGCCATTAAATCTTATGATTTTAGAAAAGCCCTAATGAGCCATGTGTCTATATAAGGATCCAAGGGAAAGCAGTATCCTTTTTGGCGCTTTATGTAGATGATATACTCCTTATCGAAAATGATACAGATGTATTGTTAGAAAAAAGACTTGGCTAAGTAAGCATTTTGATATGAAGGACTGGGGGAAGCCAATTATATTCTTGGTTTTAAACTCTTACGAGACCGTAAAAATAAGTTATTGGCGCTATCCCAGGCCACTTACATTGACAAGATTTTTGCCAGGTTCAGCATGGAGAATTCCAAGAGGGGAAATTTACCCTTCAGGCATGAGATTCATCTATCCAAGGAGCATTCCCCTAAGACTCTTGAGCAAAAAAAATGCATGAAAAGGATACCTTAAGCTTCAGTAGTAGCTAGTCTCGTGTATGTCATGCTATGTCCCAGACCAGATAACTGCTATGCAGTGGGAGTAGTAAGCTTGTACCAATTTGATCTTGGAGAGGAACACTAGATAATAGTTAAGTATATACTCAATTATCTTTGGAGAACGACAAATTATATATTGGTCTATTATAGTTTGAGTCTTGAAAACATTGGTTACATAGACTTAGATTTCCAAGGAGACATTGACTCAAGAAAATCAACTTCAGGCTATGTGTTCAATCTTAATGGCGGGCCATTTGTTGGAGGAGTGTCAAATAATCGTATGTGGCTGACTCTACCACAGAGGCTGAGTATGTGGCTGCATCTGAAGCTGCATGGTTAAAGAAGTTTCTTATGGATCTTCAGGTGACACCAAGTGCTAGTCATCCCATCACACTTTACCGTGACTACAGTGAGGCAAGAGCACAATCCAAGGATATGAGGTGTCACAAAAGACAGAAACACATAGAGAGGAAGTACCACTTGATCCGAGACATCATTGAAAAATGAGACACAATGGTAACCAAGATAGCATTGGAGGAAAACCTTGTTGACCCTTTTACTAGAGGTGGCAATATGGGTTGAACCCGATGGGTCAACCCGCCAATCAGCCAAAACGGGGCGGGTTGGGTTACACCTTTCAACCCACCAACCCGCCCCGTTTAGTTGTGGGTCAAAATGGGTTAGTGGCGGGTTGGCCCGCGGGTCATTCTTTTTTTACTATTTGGTAGTATTTTATTTGTCACTAAACTTTTGTGATATGCATTTTTTTATTTTAGTACTCCCAAAAAAATAAAGAAGAAAATTTTTATTTATGACAAAGATTATCCATATATAGAGGTAAAAATAAGTTCCTAAAAAATATATGATTGAATATTAGCTTATAATTCGGTTTGAGATTGAAAAAAAATTAAGGGCAGTATGAAATAAAAATAATATTATAAAATTAATAAAATATAATTTATTATTATTTTTTAGTTTTTAGGCGAGTTAACCCGTCGACCTACCTCAAAATGGGGTTGGTTGATGTTTCCAACCCACAATCAAACGGCGGGTCAACCCGCCCCGCCTCGCTTTTGGTGGGTTGAAAGCGGGTCGGGGCGAGTTGGCCCATTTTGCCACCTCTACCGTTTACTAAGAGTTTGTCTGAACATGTGTTTGAGAGGCATGTTACATCTATGGATCT